AATGGTGCCAGTCACGTTGCCTCCGGCAAAGAGGACGCTTCCGTGGAAAACGAGACTGGTGAAGACCGATTCGGAGGAGATGCCCGAGCCCAATCCGCTGACAGTGCCGTTGTTGGAGTCGTCGATGATCACGAGGTTTTCGATAGTAGAGCCATTGGAGGACCGCGCCGAGAAGTGGCCTGCGAGAACGGTAATGTTGCTGCTGTTTCCCGTATAAAAGGCTCCCGCGAGAACACCAGACGTGGGCTCTGGAGACAGGTCTCGTCGCCGCTTGCTGCCAGCCTGCTGAGCCTTCGGCTGGATCTGGACCGGGAATCGACCCAGTCCTTGATCGCTGAGCATGACGGCGCCGTTTGCTCCCAACTGCGAGGACTCGATGGAGCCTGCGAAGAGGGAATTGCCAGTGGTGAGGTTCAGCTTGGAAGCAGTGAGCATGCCGCCAAAGCTGGGAGCTGGGCCGTCGAGATTCTGCAGCCAGTTGTCCCTTGACAGAACCCATACCGCAAAGCCGTGGGCGGGAGTCGCTTCAAAGCTTCCAAAGGCGTTGCACTCGGTAAAGGAGCCCGTCAGGGCAATGGCGTCCTCGGTAACGCTGCTAATGTTGACCTGGAATGCCACAACCTGCTCGACCCTGCCGTTGACACCTGCACCCAACGCACTCCATTCCTGGCTCTTTGTGTCATAGACCGCCACATGGTTCAGTCCGCCTTTTCCGTTGGACCGCAGGTTTGTGAAATCTCCACCGACAAACAGCTGCGTGTCTTGAAGATACATGTCCAACACCTGGCCGTTGAGGCCCCCGTTGAGAGACGAGACCTTGCCACTGGTATCAATGGCGACGAAGTTGTGGTGCGCGTCCGAGGTGAAGTTGCCGCCTATATAGGTGACGTCTCCCGCTGTTGCCAGCGACTTGACGCCCGTGTTGTGGTCGAAGCTTGCACCCAGCTGGTTGACGGGCGAGTCGTCCAGACTGGTTGTGTTGACCTTATTTTGGCTTGGGTCAAAGTCGAAGAGGCCGTTGAGGTTTCCAGTCGAGTTGAGGAGAGTAAAGCCGACCTTTTGGGCGACAAACGTCATTTCACTCAGGTCCTGGCCATCAAGAGGGGTGAGTGTAACTTTCGGTTTGAAGCTGTCCGAGGTTCTTTCGATGTAGCCGAAGTAGATTTGATCATATTTATCAAAGTTGTTGGTCTGATAGATTGAAGTGGTAAAGTTGGATGGAATGTTGCCGCTGGACATGATGCCGGTGATGTTGACGCGCCCTCGGGTCAGGCACGAGCCATCGGGCACGCAACCTGGGGTGTACATGTTGACAGAGTAGTTGCCAGATTCAATAATGTTGGGCGAGAAGACGACGGACGCAGACTTGGACGAGATGGGACTGGAAAGCTGTGCCGTTAGATACTTTGAGTCACTCTGTAGAGAAGGCGACTGCTTCCAAGGCCCGGTGGCGGAGGCGCTGGAAGGAAACGTGATGTTGCACGCCGGTTCGTTGAAGGAGTTGATGGCGTAGGAGAACATGTTGTCCTCGAACAGCTGCACGCCGTTGAGCCCGGCTCCCTTTCCGTACCAGGCCGAGATGTCGATCTGAAAGGCGTCCATGCCAACTCTGTTGACGAAGTGAAAGTCTTGAAACTGAACTTTCGGGTCGTTGCTCAGCGGGCACTCGCTCGTGCAGCTCGAGTTCTTGCCGGTAGCGGGATCTATATAGGTAAAGTTCATGATGCCGTTGATCGGTAAAGCAACGAAGCGGAACGTCTTGGTGCCCCTTCCGTCCTGGTGCGTATTCCATAGCCGCAGCTTGGTGGGCTCGAATCCAAAGTCAAACGTCGCCCCCCAAGAGCCAGGAACCCCGTCCTTCAGCAGCCAGGTCTTGCCCGAACCGCCAGAGCCGTCGGTGCAGATGACATTCTTAGGATCGTCGAAGCCCTTGGTCGAAGCGGTGCCGTCGGCTGAGATCTCTGCGGTTGAGAGGTTGATGGCCTGCCCGTCAGCCTTGTTTGGCGCCGTGACGTTCCCCAGACCGGTGAAGCTCCCGCCGAAAATGATGTGCCCGTTGGACGCCTTGGTGATGGAGCTCACGGGGGCATTGAAGCCGGCAAAGGGCAGATTCGTCCAGTTGCCGTCCACCTTCCATGCGATAGCGTTTGTCGAGTTGCCTCCCTTAAGGTTCCCGCCCACGTAAACTATCCCCTTGTCGTCATCGCACAGGAGAGCGTTGACCTCGCCCTCGAGGCCGTCGAGCGGCGTGAACGTGGTTGTGTTGGTGTTGTAGATGGCCATGGCTGTCGACTTGATGCCGTCCATGCTGGTGAAATTGCCTCCGAGAACGACTCCCTCGGCGCCATCCTGGAGCGTTACCGAGCACATGGCCAGGATCGACGCGTCGGTTGCGGCGATGGGTGCGAGGACGCCGTTGGGCAACTGTGTCAGCAGGTATTCGCTGCCATTGGTGCTCAAGGGCCGTGCGATTTGCTCCTGGAACTGGTAGAGCGAAATGCCATTGAAGTCTCCGGCAATGCCTATGCTCCCCAGCTGGGAGAAGTCGAGGTTCGCCGGCGGCGCTGCTGTGATGTTAAAGGCTCGCGATAGTGAAGGCGCAATGGCCGCGAGAGTCGCAAGGCTCGTGCTCGACAGACGAGGGCGTCGCGCCGCCCGGCGTCGTTGTGAGGATAATCGCATGGTGATGTTTTGGCGCCGCGCTAAGGGAGACAAGTCGGATCGTGAAGCCTCGAGGAACAAAGAAACGGCGACAGGGTCGCACTCTCAGGGCGCAATCGATGATGGAGACGTCAAAGCCGATGATGTTCGAATGGTCATTTCAGGTACGAAGATGCGGATGAGGTCGGCTGGAGGCTATCGCATGACGAAACTTCGATGTTGTGCGTCGATGGCGATCAAGCAGGTATTCAATGGCGGCAGAAGCGACAGGGAGGAAAAACAAGGGAAACAATTACAAGGAAATAAATAGACAAGAGGCCCGGGGTATCGATCTGGAGGTGACGAGCGTAACGATGAAGCTTTGAAGCTGAATCAGCAGGCGACGGCCGTGAATAGGAGATGCTCGGGCAGCGTCTCGTCGCCCGCGATGAGGATTTTGGCGATGGAAAAAGGCGACGGCAGTTGGCGATGGCGGCGAAAGTGGTTGGGCTCGAGCAGGAGGAAGAGCGTGAGGAAAAGCGGCTGGAATGCGGGAAATTGCTGGCTGTTGCTCTGACGGCTCCTGGCCGGGCGGGCTAGCCTTATAAGGCTAGTGGCCTGGGCCCGGGAGAGGCGCTGAATCAGGAACAGGCAAGACAGGCTTCTCTTGTGTTCTTCTCTTGTTTCCTGTTCCTATTCCTATTCCTGATGCTACAATCACGGCCCTTCTCCTCCTCCTTGGGTTGTTGTGCAGTCACACAGCTTGACGGGCAGCTGAGGACGACGAGGGATCAGGGAAGCTGGAGACGCCAGAGCGGTGAGGTCACGTCGCCGGCCGGGAGCGAAGCGAGATTGTGCGCAACGAGATCGAATCGGCCTCAAGCTCTGTCCATCGTGTCAGTTGCACGGAGCACGCTCCCAGTGCTAAGCCTCGCTGCTATTCCAAGCAGGCCGTGATACGGAGTGCGGGCGCACTGCAGCTCGTATTACCGCCGATTGCAATTGAAGGGACCACCGTTACTGCTGCTGCCGCTGGTGAAGCAGAGCTTCGTGCGACGGGGTCTGATGATTCGCTGGCGGATGAGACGCTGCAGCCAATCCAGCTATTGCCCTATGGAAGCACAAGGAATCGCTCAGCTCGACTGCTTTGGACCCTCGACTCGATCTTTTAGAATGAGATGCTCGATTGCTCTGCTACTACTAGTGAGCTCCGAGATAAATTACCAAGGGCCACTTGATCCCCCTCTCTCCACTGCTGGCCAAGTATGGCACGATGCACAGGGCAGGACCGCGTCAGCAAGGACTCTCTTGTTCTTCTATTAATAACTTGAATTCTTCGTTCAGGGAACAGCATCGTGAAGCTTCTGCCGGAAACACCCCTGGTGGTTTGTTGCTGCGAAATGCGTCGGTTCTTCTCTGCCACCGGGGCGTTCATGTGCCTGTTCGCCCTCTTCACATCATGTCAGGGGGGCACAAAGCGTTGGCCCACCTTAATAGCTTGGGAGGGGATACCAAAGGAGATGCGAAACGCAGCTTTCCATCTCCTTACAGCCCTAATAATCCTGGGAATGCAATCGTACTGGAGCACCCAACGAACCACGCACGGCCAGGGAGGAAACGAAGAACAAGATCGACCGTCTAGCCATCCATTTCGGCTCCCGCACCTGCCCAGGGCTCTACCTATCATTATTGGCCATGGCAGTGGAACAGAGCCGAGAAAGACGCACAATCCACGGAGCACTCCCGGCTCGGATCACGGCTGGAATGGACTCATTGCGGCCTTGACCAGTGCTCAGTCTTCGCTTCTGCGCCCTGTAACTCGTTGAGCGTGGAAGCAGCCGTGACCACCTGCTGCCGCAACCATGTCACCAGTTTGCCGGTATGGAAGTGTTTCGTTTTTGTCATGTTTGCTGTTGCAAATCTCAGCCGCCAGCTTTGCATGCCATTGATATAACACCCACTTTGGCGATCATGCCATGAGTGACGGCGCCGGTCCGTTTACGCGGTATCCTGACGTTTTGCTGCGACGAGCCTCGGGTGACTGTCAGGACATCAGGGTTGAGCCACGGAAGAAGGATTGTTTCACACTGAACATCAAGACAAGGGGCAACAGAGTGGTGATGACAATGTGTCGTGCCTCGTAAATTCCCTTTCTGACGGGTTACCCTCGAAACGCCCACTGCCACAGATAAAAGATGAACCACGTACTGTCAAACTCCGAGCCGTCCCAAACGCAGACAAATGGCTGGCACTGAGACATCCATCCGTTATCTAACCCAACAAACAAAACAAATTCGCCATCAATCTGTATCACATAGTACTACTCCATAGACGGGCTGCTCCCCCCCCCCTCGCCCCCCTCACTGCGTCTTGTCCTGCTGCGTCGCCGCCCACCGTGTCTTATACTCCCTCGGGCTCTCAAAGGCCTTGGGATCGCCCGCCCACATGCCCCTGCGCTTCCTCCTGGCCTTGGCCTCGGCCGCCTTGTACCGCTCCTCCAGCCCGCCGTACTCGCCGCCGCTCTTGGCCTCGTACACCGTCGCCAGCCCGGCCTTGATCATCTCCAGGCCGACGTTCTTGCGCAGCAGGAACCGCCGCACGTATACCGTCGCCACGATGCGCTCGTACTGGTCCGTCTTGTAGATGTAGGCGCGCACGTTGCGGTGCAGGATGTAGTTCCGGAGCCACTGCAGGGCTTCGGCCGCGTAGGGCTGCGCTGGCTTGCCAAAGTGCGCTCCCTCGGGCGCATCGATGGCGGCGATGCGAATGGGTATCTGTTACAAAACCTCAGGTCAGCAATCTTTCCTTTTTTTTTCCCTTTTTTTTTCTTCTTCTTTTGCTTTTTGCCATCCGGCACAAAGGGGAGAGATAAGAATTGGGGGGCGCCCTCACAGTTCGTCCCTTGAGCTCCTTTCTCGTCTCAGGGACCTTCCTCAGCCATCCCCAGCCCACGGCCCTCCCTCCCGGCGTGTGGAACAGGTGAAAGTTGTCGCCGTCGCCCACGCTCGTCACCTTGCCAAACAGGCTCCGGTTGCGAAAGAAGTTGGGCCTCACGTAGGCGGCGCCCGGGATCCGGCGCAGGTAGTTTGCGTACAGCTGCAGCGCCGCGAGGCCGACCAGCGAGAATCCGACCATGGGCGCCCACGCCTTGGCGGCTGCCAGCGGGCCTACATCTTCGGGATTGCTGCTGAGGGAGTCTGCCCAGGAGATGGGCCGCTTCTGCTGCTTGGGCTGGTCGTCTTCATGTGCCCGGTTGCTGGAGTCGGAGGCTCCGAATGGCCATACCATTGTATTTGCGACCCGGAGGTCGGCTTTGGGGGCGTGGAAATGTGCTGAGCCGGAATTTGATGCAGGTCCAGTCGGGTGGTAATGGGGCCGAGGCTTGAGGTGCCTGCGGGCACTGTTTCTACAGTGGCGTGTTCACTGTAAGGCGCCACAAGAAGAGCCCCTATTTGTACCTAACATGCAGTGGCCTTTCACGTTTGCAGAACAGCCCAGCTACAGCCCCCCAACCCATTGGTGAAGGGCGAGATGCGCATGTCACGGCGTGATTAGCAACAGAAATCCTGAAATAATGCTTGTGTTTTATGAGAAAGGGAGCAATGGCTATATATTTCCCATCATGAAGTTCATCTACACCCGCCAATAAGTCACCACCCCAGCAAAACGACTCCCAGCTCCCAACAAGGCTGCATCTACCAACACGCGATACCAAAATCTGCCTTTGGCCGGAGAAGGAAACGGGCGCCAAGTTCTAACGTCCTCCTTAGCTGCCTTGCACCTTGAAGGTCCTGCCGCTGGCCGTCTTCCTCTCTCGTTCCTCGTTGTCCGGGCGTGCACGGCGCAAAACTGTACGAGCGTTAGCATTGTGCTACCATATACAGGCGGCAAATCAGACTCACCCTGCAGGAAGTCGGCAGTTCGCTTCCTCATTCGGGAGTGGATGTAGGCCTTGGAGGCCTTGATGTGGTAGTGGAAGTTGTCTCGGAATGTCTGGATGTGGGAGATGACGGCGGGCATTCTCGCGGGAGTCAGGTGTCTTGGGAAGAGAACTTGGACGGGTTAGCACAGCGAGCGCAATTGGACAGTCCATCATCTTCCTTACCGAATGTGACGTATCCAATCTCTCCAGATCCGGTGTCTTGAACACCAGGGACGCCCTGCAGCTCAAGCGGGGGGTCGTTCCTGAACAGCACCTGAGGCGCATTCTGAATCGCCCGTCTTCGTGCATCGACAAACTCCTGGATAAAGACCTTTCCGTACACCCGGTCGGTTTCCTCTCGGAAGATTGTGCTAAAGATGACCGTGACGCGATCGTGGCTGGCCTTGACATAGATGGCCTCCTCCTCTCGGTAGTGGATGGCCTTGACCTCGCCGCCTTCCATGACGCCCTTGGGGGCATCCTCTGAGCTGAACTTGGATGCCTCCTCCTTTAGCGTGTAGTGCTCCTCGTATGCCTGCTCGAACGGCGCAGCCATGGCGTGGCGCTTCAACAGGGCGAACTGCATCGCCAGCGCATCGCGTTCCTCTATGTTCCCGAGTGATGAGTCGATGGTCCAAAAGCACTTGCTGCTGCTACTGCGATGAGGGACAATGGCCTACCCTTGGACTCCGGCAGGTTCTCCAGGTCAACCAGGACGGAGAAGTCGTAGCCGACCTCGACCGGGACGACGTACTGCCCATATTCCCGCTGCAGGACCTGCTCGGCGCCGTACTTGGCGAGGTCCTTGAAGCATCGGATCTGGATCGACAGCAGGATCTTGGTCTTGACCTCAGGAGTCGAGATGTGGAATGTCACGCCGTCGAAGTCGGATACGGTCTGGTCGATGTGGACGGGCGGGGCTCTGTTTGCCGCGGTCAGCTGGGCTCTTCGCTCAGGGGCAATGGGCGAGTGTGTACCCGGAGAAGCGCTCGGTCAGCACCGACTGGATGAGGGCGTTCTGGTAGTCGAGGAGAAGCATCGTGGGCGGCTGGGCTTCGAGGTGGTTTGCGTGTCTTCAGTCTCAGCGTGTCCTTGTCCGGGTCGTCCTGGGAGCTGGTTGAGCGACTCCGACCCCCGTGGTGGGGCTGAGCTACGTTGCTGAAGACGTCAAGCTCGGGGGGCAGCTCAGCACGTGACAGGGGGGGGCGCCTTAGTGAGCAGGCGCCGTAAGCTAGCGCTGTGGAGCGCTGGAGGCTGCTGGAGGCTTGGGAGGGTTAGTGGGCGGCGCGGTTGCTACAGCGAGTTGACCGTTATCGATAAGCGGTGGAAAAAAAAAGTTATCTCGACTCTGCGCAATTGGCTAGCAGCGGCATGTAGATGCAAGATATCCTCTGGTGAGAGCAGACGCCAGCGTTGGAGGCTGAGATTGCCAATCATGGTCAAGTCATATCTGTGAGTTGTTGAGCTTGTCGATACCCCGACGGTATAATGAATGTACAAGGATTCCAAGCAGTCGTTCTAACCATTGGCGCAGCAAGTATGAGCACGCCAAGTCGTTTGGCACGATCCTCTCCGGCTCCTCGAACCTCGTCTGGACGTCCAAAGATCGAACGGGAACCGGCGCCGGCCAGGCGATTACGGCCGCGAACGAGGAGGTGCTGTGCTGGGACATCAAAAAGGGCGAACTCATTAGCAGATGGAGGGATGAGCGGTGCTCATATCCCGTCACTGCCATCGCGCAGAGCAGCGTGGACAAGGACATGTTTGCCGTGGGCTACGAGGATGGCAGCATTCGCATCTGGGACAGCAAGATCGCCACTGTCCTAGTCAATTTCAACGGCCACAAGTCTGCCATTACGCACCTCGCCTTTGACAAGTCCGGCGTGCGGCTGGCCAGCGGCGCCAAAGACACCGACATCATCGTCTGGGATCTGGTTGCGGAAGTCGGACAGTACAAGCTTCGCGGGCACAAGGATCAGGTCACGGGACTCAGGTTCATCGAGCCCGAGGCCCAAGTGAGCGATGAGGAGGGAAACAAGGCCTTGATCTCCAACGGCGATGATGCGCCTGAGGGGTATCTCTTGTCGACCGGCAAGGACTCTCTCCTCAAGCTTTGGGACCTGTCATCACGGCATTGCATCGAAACGCACATCTCGCAGACCAATGGCGAATGCTGGGCTCTTGGCGTGTCCCCAGATTTGAGCGGCTGCATCACCGCAGGCAACGATGGAGAGATGAAGGTGTGGTCGCTGGATGCAGACGGGCTGAGCTCGGCTGCCAGACGGGTTGAAGTCAATGCCACCGCCAAGTTCCTGCAAGACCGGGGGACCCTTCACCGACAGAACAAGGACCGAGCGACAGAGGTCATCTTCCACCCCCACAAGGACTATTTCGCTGTCCACGGTTCCGAGAAGAGCGTCGACATTTGGCGCATCAGATCAGAGGCTGAAGTGAAGAAGGGTTTGGCCCGAAAGAGGCGGCGAAGGCGAGAGAAGAAGAAGGATGCCAAGCATGATGACCAGGACATGGAAGACGCGGATGATGCGCTGGACGACGTATCAAAAGCCGACATCAGCGACGTGTTTGTCCAGTACGTCATCGTAAGAACAGGCGGCAAGGTCCGTTCCGTCGACTGGGCGCTGCCAGCCGGCCAGAAGCAGATCCATCTGGTGGTGGGAACCACGAACAACCAGCTGGAGTACTACAATGTGCAGCCCAAGGAGAAGAGCGATAAGAAGGCAAAGGACGACATCCCCGACTACGCCAAGGCGTTCTCGGTCGAGATCCCCGGACACAGAGCTGACATCCGCGCCTTGTCACTAAGCTCAGACGACAAGATGCTGGCATCGGCATCCAATGGCCTGCTGAAGATCTGGAACATCAAGACTCAGACCTGTATCCGGACGTTCGAGTGTGGATATGCCCTGTGTTGCTCGTTCCTCCCCGGAGACAAGGTCGTTGTCGTGGGCACGAAGAATGGAGAGCTGCAGCTGTTTGATGTTGCGTCAGCATCGCTCCTCGACAGCGTCGATGCGCACGAGGGAGCCGTCTGGGCGCTGCAGGTCCACCCCGATGGCCGATCCGTCGTTTCTGGAAGCGCCGACAAGACTGCCAAATTCTGGGACTTTAAGATTGTGCAGGAACAGGTCTTGGGGACGAAACGAACGACGCCCAAGCTCAAGCTTGTGCAGTCTAGGGCGCTCAAGGTCTCCGACGACATCCTCAGCCTGCGGTTCTCGCCCGACGCCAGATTGCTGGCAGTGTCACTTCTCGATAGCACGGTCAAGGTCTTCTTCGTGGACTCGCTCAAGCTATACCTCAACCTCTACGGACACAAGCTTCCTGTGCTGAGCATGGACATCTCCTACGACAGCAAGCTCATTGTCACGAGTTCCGCAGACAAGAATATCAGAATCTGGGGTCTCGACTTTGGTGACTGCCACAAGGCCTTGTTCGGGCACCAAGACAGTATCCTGCAGGTGGCTTTTGTTCCCCACAACTCGGACGGCAACGGGCATCACTTCTTCAGCACCGGCAAAGACCGGACCATTCGATACTGGGACGGAGACAAGTTTGAGCAGATTCAGAGGCTGGACGGCCACCACGGCGAGGTGTGGGCCATCGCCATGAGCCACAGCGGCAACTTCCTCGTCACTGCTAGCCACGACAAGAGCATTCGCGTATGGGACGAGACGGACGAGCAGATCTTCCTAGAGGAAGAACGGGAAAAGGAGATGGAAGAGCTGTACGAGAGCACCCTGACGGCTTCGTTGGAGAAGGACCAGGAAGGCGATGAGAATGGCGAGGTTGCCGCCGCGGGAAAGCAAACCACGGAGACGCTGATGGCTGGTGAAAGGATAGCGGAGGCCCTGGAGATGGGCATGGCCGACCTGAACCTGCTGAAAGAGTACGAGGAAGCCAAGCTGACGAATCCTCACGCCATGCCGCCGCAGCGAAACCCCGTCTTCCTCGCGCTCGGCAACATCACTGCCGAAGCCTACGTCATGTCTGTGCTCCAGCGCATCAAGGCTTCCGCTCTGCACGATGCCCTGCTGGTGCTCCCCTTTGCCTCGGTCCCCATCCTCTTCACCTTCATCAACATCTTTGCCATGCGGTCGATGAACATTCCCCTGACGTGCCGCATCCTCTTCTTCATGCTCAAGACGCACCACAAGCAGATTGTGGCCAGCCGGACGATGAAGGTGATGATGGACGGCATCCGCACCAACCTGCGGGCGGCGCTGAAGAAGCAAAAGGACGAGATGGGCGTCAACATTGCGGCGCTCAAGGTGGTGGGCATGCAGATCCGGGACAAGAGCGTCAAGGAGTACGTGGACGAGACGTGGGAGGAGGAGAGCAGGGAGCGGAGCGCAAAGAAGCGAGCGTTTGTACATGTTGCTTAAATGGGGTGAGGATGTTGTACAGAGGTAGAAGGGGGGGAGGCATTGCACATGATAGAGGCATGGCCGAGTCTGGCCATGTTGCTGGCTTAGGAGTTTCTGGTTAGGATTTGAAAAGAAATACAAACGTGATTTTGAGTCATGCTACCCGGCAAGCGTTCTGATCATGCAGCCTGTCATTCTGCTCAGCCATTCATTGACCAGACGGAAATCTTGTTCATAGCCGTGAGAGATGTAATTGTTCTTCCGTATATGAGCGTCCGCATTGCCTCCATTCCTAATATTGTAGGTCTCTAAACATTTATAGGACGTTTAGCCTCTTTTCCCGCCCATCACCATCTTCACCAAGCATTGCCCGTCTTGCCAAGTCACCGTCACCCCTACCAAGCAACAATTTGCCTTCCAATGCTCACACAAATCAAGTAACCGAGTAATTAGGAAAAGGAAAAAAATGTATAAGCCCTCTATGTTCCAGGTAATGTCCCATAATGAAATGCTGCATCTGCCCCATATAGGTACGCCATTCTCTCACCAACATACACCATCACGTGACCTTGCAGCTCTCAACGCCTCATTCTCTTCTAGTACGGAATCCGTTGTGTGGAGACGCTCTCTCTCACTTGGACATTGAGCTGTGACAACTTCAACTCAAAGAGAAAAAACCCCACGATTCTCTCCACAATCACAGCAAATCCCGACAGATACTCATACACAACAATCTCTCAATCCCCCGTCACTCATTCACCTTCATCCCGCCCCTACGAGACCGAGCAATTTCCAGTAACCTGACACGGTTCCCTCCTCAGGCCATCCATCATCACAACCCCCGCCTAACGAGCCTCAAAAGCGTCATCATGCTCTTCTTCAGGTCCGTCTCCCCCCCCCCCCCCCACGCATCACTGTATCTCAAGGCAACGTGAGCATGGGAATTGATCAATAAACAACGTAGCTTCTTCAAAACCCTCATCGACCACGAAGTCACCGTCGAGCTCAAAAACGACATCCAGCTCAAGGGCATCCTCAAGAGCGTCGATCAGTACCTCAACATTAAGCTCGATGACATTCAGGTCGTCGAGGAGCTCAAGTATCCTCACCTGGTATGTCTTCCTCCAAACATTCCACCCCCAACAAGACTATCCCAACTTGCCTCATTTGCTCTCTCTTATCGGGGAGATATTGTGGCGCAGTAGAAGAAGATGATGATGATGAAGAAGAGGTGGACTGACGGTGGTCATGTAGAGTTCTGTGAAGAATGTCTTCATTCGAGGGTCTGTCGTGCGGTATGTGCATCTTCCTGCGGCGTCGGTTGATACGCAGTTGCTGGAAGATGCCACGCGGAGAGGTAAGAGCCCTTGGCACTTGTCCTTTAGATAGCATCGATTCGAGACTGACTTTTTGGTTATAGAAGCTGCTGCACAGCAGGCCAAGGCGAAATAAAGAGAGTGCGACTACATGAGACGGGAATTAGATCATCACTGAGGAGAAGAGAAAGGGATCTTGAATGCTTGCTTGAGCTCAATCTTTACAGAAAGGAAACATCTATGGAGCATCGGCGCGTGATGGAAAACTGCGTTTGGTGAATGGCTCATCTGGGGGTTCTGTTGCAGACATAAAGCAGTCATTTGGCGTTTCTCATGGCATGGGCAACGGACCACCGGATTTCTCACCAGCATCACTTTGGACGTGTTAATAAAGCTTTATAATTTACCACCCCCCAGCTGTGTCCGTCTCTAATCTCTCGTTTATCCTCACCACCAAGCGCCCCCTCCCTCGCCGGCTTTCCCTTCCCACAACGGTATACTCTTTGCATGCTCCTCGTCTTCACCCTCCACCAACGGCCTCACCAGCCCACCCTTTCTCCTCTCCGTCATCCATCGATCGATCCAGCCCTTCATCCTCTTCCGCGACTGCTCGCTGCCGACATTGACAGTGGGAATCACTTTATCAATGCGCAGACCCATGACAAACATGGCCAGCTCACGGAAACTGCTATGCTCGGAATACGGCACGCCAAAACACATAGCCTCTCTCGTGCTGCCCCTCTGCGCAACGAGGTCCTTTGCGCTGAATCTCGTCCTCCAGCCCTTCCCGTGGAGGAGCTGCTGCGTCGATATGCTGCTCGGTGGGGTGTTGGCTCCAATCGCCTTGCTGCCGTTTCCGGGCCGGAAATTCCAGCCGCTGGGGCGGAAGCCGACGATGCGAGTGAAGTGAGGCCTGTAGCTGTCCAGGTACTCTTGCAGTGTTTCAGCGCGAATCTCCATGAGCATCTGCATGTGCACTTGAGCTTCCACGGGATCAGACGTCAGCAGCGCCGTCAGTTCTGGATCATCGAGCTGTTTGCATATCTTGATCTTGGCTGGAGAGGCAAAGATCTTGGAGCCAAGGGCTTTGGCTATGGCCACGCAAATTCTCTCCTTTCCGATGGAGTAAGTTCCGCAGATCACGAGGAGGCGCTGCTTCGGTCGGGAGGGGCTTGACTTCGACTCCTCACCATCTTCCGCTGGCTTGTCGCTCTGGAAGTATTTGCTCATGGTGCCTGTCCCAGCCGACTTCTCTGATCTCTGCCAAACGTCATCCGCGCAATGGGAATCTGCCGCCATGGATGCACACATATCCGCACAGGCTTGGATGACGTCTCCTTGAGGAGGGAAAGAGTATCGCGGGTTCAGATATGTCGTGTCGAGGTAGCAAATATCAATCCGCTGCTGCTTTGTTTTGCCCGATATTGAGTCTACTACATCGGCTTTGAGTAGGGGGTGCCGCACGTGTTGTGGACAGGCCCGAAAATCGCCGCAGTGTAATATCCTCTTTACCCTCTTATTCGGTCCAGTTCCAAAGGGCTTCTCAAAGAGGAACAGGGAGCTTCCGGGGCAGTGGTTGGCCGGCATCATGGTGACCGTTGCGCCATCGGTTCCGGGAACATCATAGGACTTTTCAAACTCAAGCTCAACAACCCACTTGGCTGCTGTCCGAAGCTGTTGCTTGACCAAGCTGCCCGTCACCTTGCTGCAGTAGATTGGGCCGTGCCGCCAATTTGCTGTGAGGCCGATGTAGTGGTCGCTGTGAAAGTGGCTGAGAAAGTAGGCCTGGCATCCCTCCACGGCACCGTAGCGGAATGCATCAACGCATATTGAGAAGCCAGGCATAATCTTGTAGAATGGACATGTCCGTTCGTAAGCAGGTCGTCCTCGTGACGCCGTTTCTGCAGCCGCCGCTGTAGCCCAAGCTGTATCTTCAGCATTTCCGGACATGAGCTTTGAGAAGGCGCTCTTTGACTGCTTATCGGCGTTGACCTCGAAAGGATTTGTCTGGCCCGGCCTTGGTACGGCTGCCCGGGCGAATCTCTTGCTCATCTCAGCGGCCTCTACCTGGGTGGCCGCCTTTTCGACTTCTGCGTCCTCCTCCTTGATTGTCGCGTTCTTGATTGTCGCGCCATTGCTCGTGGGGAGCGTAATTGGATTGCCATCGAGGCATGAGTTGACATGTCGTGTAGCTTCATCTGGGGAGACGCCGAGCAGGCTGCCGCCACAGATCGGGCAGTCCTCTACCGAAGCCTGATCATTCAAGAGATCGTCGACATCGTCGCCTGGAATCCCGGCTTCTTCCGCTTCAAGTCGAGCCTGCTCCCGCATGAAGCGCATTTCCCGCATCTCCTCGCCTTCAAACTCATCTAAGCCCAACTCGTCCAGGTCAGCGAAGTCCCCCAGCTGGTGAAATTGGGCATCCGTCGAGGTCTCTTGCTTGAGCAGCGGCGGCGGTTCATACTTGTCAGGGGTATCCTTGGCCGGCGTGGCATCGCGGGATGGCTCGGGCTGAGCGGAGGGCGGCGTTGGTGCGGCGGCCTTCTTTTCGGGGGGCGACATCACGGAGTCGACTGTACATGTTGCTCTATTTGTATCCTCGGCATCGTCATCTTCCTCGCTATCGGACTCTATGATGAAAGGTGTCTTGATCTGCCGTTTGGGCTTCTTTGACTCGTCTCCGCTCGCGGGCTTTGCCGGCTTGATCGTGCTATTCTGAGCCGGTGCTTCTGCTGCGTCTGCTGTTTCCTTCTTCGCCACTGGTTGGATAGACTCCTGACTGACTCTCCTTTTCTTGCTCGGTCGTTCCACCTCATTAAATCGAGCGTCGTGGTCCAGGGTCTGCGATTCGTCCTGATGAGCTATTTCCGCAGGCACCGCACCGACAAAGAGTGAATCCTCCTGTTTCGCGGCTTTCTGGAAGAAGTTGAGGATGCTGGCGTTTGGCTTGGCGGGTTTCTTTGCAAAGCTTGAAGCTGCCGCTGGCTTCTTTGACAAGCTCGAGCGGCTGGCCTTGGTAGACGTGACCATTGTGGGCAGATTCTGCAGTCAAACAGCTGCTCTTGGTTGCTCGACTTGCTGGTAGTAGTAATAAGTTGGAGGCATTCATTAGGTAGGTACCTAGTATTACACGTCGATTCACAGTATCGCGTAATGGCTGGATCGTGAATTCACGAAGTCACGTGCAGCTAAAGTGGCGGGGGTGACACTAGGCTATTTACGTCAAGCGCGGGGACCTAGGTAGTACCTATTTTAAGACATGGAGTTTATCTTGTACAGTATTATAGAGGGATCTTCACCACTCAATGCTTAATCAAGATCTGTAAAGTACCTAAACTCCAGACAGTGCCTATCTAGATCTTGATCTAAACAGACTATAGTTACATAGAGACTACCTAGGAATCCCATGAGAATACTCCATGAGCAGATATATCGCCTCTTACGGTGGAATCAGTTATATGGTCGCCGTTGCCAGGGTGTAATATGGCATCAACGCCTATGTAGGTACTGTCGACAAGGTAATACGGTACGGTCTAACAGATGTCCCGGCTGAGGCTCCCGGGTTTCCAAGGCCTCATCCGCCGATAGATGGCGTTTCCTAGTCGAACATCGTCTTTGTTGCTCCGTATAAGCGCTGTGATATGCCAGAGTCTATCTGAACTGCGGCCTTGCGTCCCTTGTTTCAAGCTGACTAGCGCCACTGTCTGGGCGTCGTCACCCTGTTTGTTCCAGGAATAGAAGCGTTACCATCACACTTCTCTTCTGGCTTCTACACGTGCTACCGTGCTGCATCAACTTCACTGGTCGGCTGTTTCTTCCTTTTGTTCGTCTTGTACCGCGCAGAAAAGCGATTAGATGATACATCCTGTACGATCAATCCATACAGAAACGCTATAGAAAACATGTCCTGTAAGTTCAAGTGGTCTACCTAGTTGGCTTCATCTCATGGGCGACTATCACGACTGACACTCCCTCTCAGCGTGGCTCAACACGACCGCAACGCTGCAAAACGTGACAGCTCTGCCATCAGGCATCACGCGCGCCAAGGCTCTGGAGACTGTGCAAAATCACGACCTTCACATGCAATGCGACCCTCACATGGTCAAATACGAGCCCATTGCGCGGCCGCCCAAGATTGAGTCTCCCACGGTCCCGGCGGACAGAGGCCTCATCCCCGTCGGCGAACCCCTGTATTACAAGGTGACGGATAAGGTGCATACGCTGCCCGCAGGGCTGTGGGATTCCAACGTCGAGAGCACCAACGAGTTTGTGAAGCTGGAACGGGGCATGTTTGTGAGGCTGTATAGCCCGCTCAACGTGGTGATGGAGACTGTCTGGACGGTCCGAGAGACGGAGAGCGGCGGGCTTGAATTGGTCGAGGATGTGCTGATCAAGGCGTCTCGGCTGCTGGTCGGGACGGTGAAGAACATGTGCAGCACCAACTGGACGACATTCCACGGCAAGATGGTGGAACTGATGAAGCAGGGCTCGTCATGATACGAGGGCCGGTGATGCATCCATCCTATGTGTGGGCGAAGTTGCGCTGTCCAATGCTGCTGTATGTCTTGCTGGCTGGCGGCCATCAGCATGCTTAGGCACTCTGTATTACGGTAGAGCCCATGATAGATCCCAGACGGGCACTTTTCTGATATCGTTTGCCATTGGACGAATTGTCATGCAAGCAAACCGCATCTGTTGTTTCATCATCAGGTTGATCGAGGAGCCATAATTGGCAGCTGGCCCAAACGAATGGCTGAGGCCTCACCCGGCTAAACCCCGCCTAAGCGCTGCGCCTCAGCCATTCGCTGCTCTGACACCTGGGACTCGAAGCTCAGGCATCTCTTCTGCCATCCTCTTGTCCATCGACAAATCATCTCCGAACACGACAGTTTGATCTCCATCTGGGGGCTGGTGAGTCGCGCCCCAAGATGGCCGAGGCGAGTCTGGATTGTCCCCTCAGATCCTCTTAAAGAGCGCGCAGAGTCGTGTGTGTCGTCCTCGTCACTTCACCCCTCGAATTCCGGCATCAAAAACACCAGCATCGTCTGTCCAAGCGTCTGATCGGCATCAACCCCTACAGCAGCCAAGGTCCAAGTGGGCCAGTTCCATGCATCATGTCGCTCCGAGTCCAGTGGCCCGACGTGTCCGGCACCAAGCAAAAGGCCCTTGAAGATGCAAAGAAGATGCAGAATGCCGTCGTCGAGAGCTGCACAAAGGCCGGCAAGGAACCCCCGCAGTATCAGCTGCAAGAGCTCGTCGGCAAGGGCAGCTTCGGCAGGGTCTACAAGGCAACTTCCACAAAGACCGGGCGGCTGGTCGCCGTCAAGATCATTGACATTGAGGAGAGCGACACCCTGAACCCTAAGCTCGCAGACACTTACAGTGATCTGCTCAAGGAAATCAATGCCCTGCAGCTGCTCAGCGACAGCGGTGCCAAGAACATCAACCATGTCATCGAGGCGTTGCCCGTTGGCCAGTCCATGTGGATGGTGACCGAGTACTGCGCCGGCGGCAGCGTGGCGACGCTCATGAGGCCAACGGCGCCCGGGGGACTGCAGGAGAAATGGATCATCCCCATTGTGCGAGAGGTTGCCGAGGCCATTCACTGGGTGCACGGCCAAGGCATCATCCATCGCGATCTCAAGTGCGCCAACGTGCTCGTCACCGAGACTGGCGATGTTCAGCTCTGCGACTTTGGCGTTGCTGGCGTGATGGAGACAAAGGTCGACAAGCGGACGACATTTATCGGGACGCCACACTGGATGGCGCCCGAGCTGTTTGACAAAGAGGCGGCATACGGGACAGAGGTCGATATCTGGGCATTCGGCGCCATGGTGTATGAGATTGCATCAGGTCTGCCACCAAACGTCACTGATGGCATCGATTTCGCGAGGCTTGGGTCGCATCTGAAGAACCATACACCTCGGCTCGAAGGTGATCAATACTCGGCAGGCCTGAAAGATCTAGTGGCGTACTGCCTCCAGCACGACGCCTCAGACCGGCCAACGATTGAGCAGGTGCAACAGCACAGGTACATTCAGAACACCGAGACATCGCACCCAACCTCTTCTCTCGTCCACCTGGTTCGAGCCTTCAAACTATGGGAGGCGCAGGGCGGAGACCGACGGTCGCTGTTCTCGGCCGGCGGCGCCCAGGGCCTGGCTGACCTCTCCATCGCCATCTCCAACGACGAGTGGAACTTCAGTACGACGGCAGCCTTTGACCAGCAGGTGCTCGATCAGGGCGACGCTCAGGATGTCTACGATGTATACGGATCCAAGGTGGACTTCGCCCCCGAAGATTACGATGAGACTTCTCGCCCATCAAAGCCCAAGTCCCGAAGGCGGCCTCCCCCTCATCTTCCGTCAGTGAAAGCACCTCTGGAGAAGATCTTTGACCCCAATACGATATCGACATACGAAGAAAACTCGAGGGCTTACTATAGCCAGCCGTTTCAGGCTCCCATATCAGACCTGCCGCTTCGCGATGAGAGCTCACAGCAGCCAGACGTGAGGGAGTCTCTCATCGATCTCGATGTATCTCTGCACGGGGGAGAGCTGTCGCAGTTTGTCGACATGGACACCATCAAGGCCAGCGATTCACATGCGTCGGTCGACTATGGGTTTGACGACCCGAGTTTTGTCAATGGCCCAATGAGCGATCCGATTGATCTGAAAGACAACAGGCGCACGCAGGATTGGAAGTTCCCCTCAATGGCTGCCACAACGACGGCAGCCCACCAGGATTTCAAATTCCCCTTTACCAACAGCGTTGCCCCGTCGGATGATGGCCGACCCCAACTCCCCCATCACGCCTCCGAGCCCAACCAGCGGACGGCCAGTTTCAGCGAGCTTGCACCGACTCCCTCAGACGACCACCGCGCATCTGTGGGCAGCTTGATTGATCTCGACATGAGCTTTGCCGACTCGTCGACTGACTTCACCCGTCCCTCAACGTCCTACTCTGATGTTGGGTCCATTAGCGGCTCGGAGATTGGCGGCACAAACCCCTTTGAGCTAGAAAAGCACGCCTCGCTCTATGTCATGAATGCCACAAATCGAGAGCCCTCAATCTATATCTCAGACGAGTCGGAGTATGCACACGTCATCACGAGCATCCCCGATCTGTCACTCGACGACGAAGTAAAGCACGATGAATCTCACATCAGCAAGGAATCCAATGTGTCTGCCTTCAGCGAAGGCCGGCCCTACTCCCTGAGCGACTTTGCGGACATGGATCCCGAACTGCCTCCCGAGCCGGCTCCCGCTCCCAGCACGCCCAAGCATGCGCCGTCGCTGCGAGAATACTCGCCAAAGAGCCGGTCTCCGCAGAGCACGTCCTCGCCCGTCACACGTCCTCGCCCTCCCATGCAGCAGCTTGACGCTATCCTCCCCCCGCTACCGGCTGGTCCCTTGCCGCAGGTCATGCTTGGACAAGCTTCCCCCGAGGAGGTCCGGAGCGAGCTGCGGCGGTTGGCCATGAGCCTTGGCGACCACTTGGCTACTGCCAATGCATATATATCTACCTTGCCCGTGCGGAGGAAGAGCACGCATACGCAATACTCGCTGGATCCAGAGGGTGGCGCAATTTAGTCTTTTTATTCTTTTCCTCCCTTTCGATGGCGGATTGCGAGACGACTTCAAGGTTGGGAGAGGCTGCTATATGACGGATACTTGGAGTCACAATACGGGGGTTTATGGTATGGATGTACAGTCAAGCAGCGTGTATTTGTTTTGGTTCAAAGTTCAAGGAGAGGGAATCTTTTGCATGTCTGGTAACAGCAGAGTCATAGGGCGCGATGCATGAGCCTGTATCTAGGTACCCACATCAGAGGAACTCTTGTTCTCTTTCCATGTGTCAATACATTATTTCTGACAGGTTTCCCACGCTGTTCCATGATGCTATCCACACCGTGAAACTCATGACCCCTTCAAAATCCAATCATGTTGCCCATCAACAAGGCCTGATACTTTTCAATCGCCTCCCCAAGCTTAATCAGTACTCCAGCCGAAAGCATCTTGACCTCATTCTCCTCCCCTCCATCCTCGCCCCTTATCCTATTAAATACCGTCGCAGCCCACTCCCTCGTCTCCACGACCTCGCGCCCCTGCGTCTCGCACAGTCTGCGCATATCGCCATCATTCACCTCCAGCAGCGAAGCCATGGCCACGAACCACCCCCTGAGCGCCCCAAGGTCATCTTGCGTGTGGACGCGCACAGCCAAAAGCAAATCCCATAGCTCAGACGTGAGTTGCGGAAGAGCAAGAGTAGAGGGACCAGCTGCATGGATGATGATGCCTAGCGTTTGAAGATACAATGCCAACAGGGCGGGATTCAGGATGACGGGCTTGGAGGAGCGGAGGGCGACTTGGAAGTGCGCTGTGAGGGGGTAGAAGAATGATTCTGCGATGAGGGCGGCGGTGGTGTTTGGGATGGAGCGGATTCGTCGAGGCTTGGTGGCCTTTGCCTTGGACTTGTAGCGGGACGTGAAGGTCGAGAGCTTGAGCATGTCGGGGCCGGTGGAGGCGTCGGCTGCTTTGGCGGCCATGGGCTCGAGGAAGGATGATGTGAGGGATTGGGCGATGGTGTCTATGGCGGTTGAGGGCAGTGCTTTGAGTTGGGATGGGCTTCTTGCTTCGCCTTGCTTGGGCGAGTCGATGTATAGCTGCTCAATCTTGTCTGGGAGACGCTTTGAGGGAAACGACGCGGCGGCCTGATATTCCGAGGTATCGAATCCGGCGAGTTCTCTGGCTGATAAACCAATGGCAACGAGCACCTGCGTTCGCTGTGACAAGGAATAGTCACCCTCGAAAAAGGTCCGGGAGAACCAGGGGGCCATGGTCTTGGGCTGGGCGACTATCAAGGCTATCATGCCCTGCAGCTTCAGGTCGTTGAAGTCTTCAATGTCGAACTTGTCTTGCAGTCCGACGAGTAGCCCCGCGAGCTCATCCGCGTGGGAGCTCACTTCCATGCCAAAGTTGGCCTTTCGGCGGATCAACAGCGGTGCCGTCTGCAGGGCCAGCTTCTGTTTGTCGTAGGATTCTGTGTCGCGGAGGTAGAGGATCAGGTCGCGGATGTAAACGGGGGCCTTTGGCTTGTTGCGCTGGACCAATGTGGCGTCGTCGTCGGAGTCTTCGGGGTCAGAGCCTTTCGCATAAGGTACAAGATCTTCATCGTCTTCGGAAGAGTCGACCTCTTCGATGATGGCTATCGGCTTGATGGTGGAGATGCTGGGTTCTGGCTTCGCCTTGGGTTTCGCTTTGGACTTTGACGTCTGTTTCTGTGATGGGCGGTTCTCTTTCTTTGCTGGTAGCCCTATAGCTTCAGCTTTGAGAATAGGCTCCATCGAACCAATTTCGTCAGAGACGGTGGTCAGAGACTTGAGCCACTGCGCTTCTTCGCTCTCCGTTTCTTCCATGTGAAAGTCAAGCTTCTGACTCTTGTCGTCCATTAGGGTCGAAAGAGATTCGCCAACAATCAAGCCCAAGAATCGAGCCCTTGCCTGGGTTGCTGCTATTCGGTTCGAGATTGCCGTCAGGTAAGAGCCGGATCTCACAATGATTCTCAGTTTAATGGGAGATAGTCTGGAAACGTAGCCTGCACTGAGAAGTAGCACTTCGGCATGGACTAGCAGGAGTCAGTGCGATGCAGCAATGATGTGTCTGAAAGTTAAGAGGGCCGTTACCATTTTGCTGTAGTATAGCCGCATGCTTGATGTACAACTGGTCACCAAACTGAGCCAGACTTTTCTCGAAAACAGTCGTAATCCCATCCTTATTCTGAGCTAGGACTGCGAGAACGGCTCTTCGAATGCCTACAGCGTCCCCTAAGCCGGCGCCAGACGATGAAGTGCACCAGGAGACAAGATGGTTGTAAAGACCTTCATTGCCCTTGATGACTGCGTCAATGACTCCGGCAGCGGCAGATATGAGTGTGTTGAAAGATGGAGTGCCCAGGTCGAGGCCATTCAGGTGCTGGGCAAGGTGTTGTAGCAGAATATTCATCGTTCTTTTGGCGCTGGATGACTGAGACAGGCACACTTTGGAAAAGTCCTCCGGGTTGCTTCCCTCTCGCAGCAGAAGGCCGTCAATGACCGTCTTTACAAGGCTCTCTGGCGACAAGTCAGTCATAGTCAGCCATGTCTTACAGAAGTTCAACATACCCTGATAGCCTAGAGATAGGCCACGCTGAAAGACGTCTGAGCAGAATTGCAGGTCATGCTCGGTCTTTATGAGCTTTGCCCAGGCAATGACGTTGTGTGCAACCCATTGCGTAAACTTTGCGCCATCAGCTGGCCATGTCGTTTTGGCATCGACGTTTTCCGAGCCAGCAACTTCGATTGCTTCGGCGGCGATGGACAGTATTCGTCCCCCGGTGATCAAGGAGAGCAGCGCCTGAGATTGCACCTTTCTCAGCGCCTGAGTGGCCAGCCTTTGTGTTGAAGCTGTCCACAAGGCTTGGATAGCAGAATCACCCTCTAGCACTGTCGCTAACACATCGAGAAAGATACTAATGTGTAGCACCAGATCAATTCGCTTAGCCTCCTTCGATCCTAGCTTGTGCTCCTGGATGAGGGCCTTGAGATGAGTAAGAACGGCGTTGAGCCCGGTGACGCTCTGTAGACAGGCTACAAACAGATGCAAGTCGTCGCGACCATCCTCGGTGCCGGCACTCGCTCCGCCTTCTTTCAACAGCGTCCAGTAGTTTGCAGCAATATCCGTGACCAGCACATGGATGATGGCTGCGCTTTTCGGACCTGGAACATGGACGTTGAAAGCGTCGGGCTGTGCGGCATCCGTGGTGAGATACCGCAGAACTCGGACAAGGGAGTCGTAATCGGGCTGGTTCCGGAGGATCTCCAGAGCCTCATCTGGCGAGTTCACCTGCGAAACCTTGGGAAGATCGACCACTCTCTTGGTTGAGCTGACCTCGGAGAGCAGCGGCTGGGCGTCCTTTCGAGGCTTGAGATATGTGGTGCTGACCGGGGTCAGCAGTTCGTCCATGGCCGCTGCCTGGGCTTCTGGAGATGGCTCAAAGGAGGGTTGGCTGCATTTGAAAGGAAATGGTACATTTAACAGACGATGACGAAGCGGTTCAAGTGCTGGACAGACAGATGAAGGTGCAGAGATGAAGATGAAGATAGAAGAGGCAGAGCTTCAAGCTGTGGTGGACGGTCAGGACCCCACATTCACCTGAGCTCACCGGTCCCTCACCGACCCCTCACCGAGGCTAGGACGAGCTCCTCCCCACCCTGCCATGCTTGCCTAACAGCTGCCCCAAGCTTCCGTCCTCCATAGCACCTCCGGTTTCTGCGACTCTGTCCGGCATCAACTTCCTTTCCTCTGCCTTCACCTCTGCTTTTCCTCCTCTCGATACGTATCGATACCCTACGGACTCCTATTCAGCCGTCATTTGCCCCGATATGAGTGTCGAAATGCAAGATGCACCAGCTATTGACGCCGATAGGGAAACAAGACGATGGTCAGCCAGTGCCCGACCCCCAGCTGGCGATGCGCCGAGCAGGAGCATGTGCTGACGGGGAGATGCAGGAAGTACCTCGAGCAGATCAGACGCAATCCGGGCCCGTTTACAAACCCAGAAGCCGTAGAGGAAGAGTTCCTAGCGCAGTTTGAGCGATTCAAGATCCTGTATGTACTACAAAGCACAAGCACAAGCACAAGCACTACTGTAGCAACGAAGCAGAGCCGGATGGAACAGGCATCTGGCTAACCAGACACAGGGTCATGTGTGTCCCACCTCGCACCGATACTACTGCTGGTTTGCTCCAGCTGACGACTGACGACTGACGGCGGTGGCAGTGGCGCGGGCGGCCTGGGATGCGAGATCCTCAAGAACCTGGCCATGTCCAAGTTCAAGGATATCCATGTGATCGATATGGGTAGGCGCATCATGCACACGCCGCCCAACTCTGCGGCTTGGACTGTCACTAATCCGATGCGCCGAGTTCAGACACGATCGACATTTCGAACCTGAACCGACAATTTCTCTTTCGAAAGTCAGACGTTGGCAAGTACAAGGCCGAAGTCGCAGCCAAGTTCGTCGAGCAGAGGGTCAAGGGTGTTAAGATCACGGCGCACAACAAGCGGATCCAAGACTTTGACGACGAGTTCTACAAGCAATTCCAGCTCGTTATCTGCGGCCTGGACAGCATCGAGGCTCGGCGATGGATCAACGCCATGCTGGTCTCCATTGCGGAGGAGTCTGAGGATCCCGATGGGGTCAAGCCGCTTATTGACGGCGGCACCGAGGGCTTCAAGGGCCAAGCCAGAGTCATCTTCCCGTCCTTCACCTCGTGCATAGAATGCCAGTTGGACATGCACGCCCCCCGAGCCGCTGTTCCGCTGTGCACCATTGCCTCCATCCCGAGACAGCCGGAGCACTGTATCGAGTGGGCGCATGTCATTGCTTGGGAGCAGGAGAAGCCCTTCCCGAAGCTCGACAAGGACGATCCCGAGCATGTCACATGGATCTACCAGAAGGCCCTCAAACGCGCAGAGGAGTTCAACATCCCGGGCATCACGTATTCGCTCACGCAGGGAACGATCAAAAACATCATTCCCGCCATTGCTTCAACTAACGCCATCATCGCCGCGGCGTGCTGTAATGAGGCCTTCAAGATTGCCACCACAACGGCAACGTGCCTGGGCTTTGAGAACAACTACATGATGTACTCTGGTAACGACAGCATCTACACGTATACGTTCAAGCACGAGAAGAAGGACGACTGCCCGGTCTGCGGGCGAGAAGCCCGGCCCCTGGAGGTTGACCCCAACATGGCGCTGCAGGATCTACTGGACTCGCTTGCCGTCCGCCCAGAGGCCCAGCTGAAGAAACCATCCATTCGGGCGGAGGGCAAGACACTGTACATGCAAGTCCCGCAAAGCTTGGAGCAGCAAACGAGGCCCAACTTGAGCAAGTCTCTGAAGGACCTGGGGCTGGAGAATGGTCAGGAGGTTGTGGTTACCGATCCTGCGTTTCCCCTGGAGTTTAACTTCTACCTCAGGTTCAAAGCCGAAAGCTCCTAACACTACAGTTCCTTTTTCATTCATTCGCATGACGATGGAGTTTACTACGTTCATCTTGGGCATATTCATGGCGTTGGAGACATGTTGGCGGGATCGCGAATACAATCCTTTTTTTTTCCACTTCGGAAATGCAATTACTATACTTTCACTTTCTTCTTCTTTTCTATTGCATGCTATCATGTATGTTCACCTTTGAACATAATCACAGACTCAGCATATCAGGTAAATTGATTCTTTTTCTTTACTCGATTTTACCCTTGAGATATACACGACACAGGAATATGTGAATAAATAACAGCATGTGTCAAAACACGCGATAACCATGCCCCCCCCCCCCCATTTTATGTACAAAAACGCCTTCGACCAAAATTCCGAAAAAGAGTAACACAAGGAAAAGCAATTTACTGAACCATGTTGATGACCTGCTGCTCCAGCTTCTTGCACTTGAGCTTCAGATGCTTTACCGCCTCAAGGAACAGCTCGTCGCTATCCCACTGTCCGGTGCTCTCAATCGAAAAGATAAAGTGGTCTCTTCTCCGGCCGAGCTTGACCTTGCCCTCGAACTCGGGGTGCCGCAGCGCCTCCCTGCTGACGGTGTCCTTCATCGTGTCCTTGACGACGGCCTTGAGCTCGCCCGCATGGCCCTCGTAGCCACTACCCGGCCTGCTGGCCTCCTCGCGCGAAATCTTCTCGAGCCCGATGACGCCCTCGGGGAAGCAGCGCTGGAATTTCTCGGCGTCGGCGCCGATGATGGGGCGGGTGATGTTGATGAGCGGCAGGAGGCGGTACGAGGCGGTGGCGACGGGGGAGAACTTGGAGTGGTCTGCGCCGATGCCCTTGTGCATGTGCATGGCGAGGTTGATGGACTGCTTGGGGCGCAGCTTGGCGATGAGGATGTCGGGGTTGACGGGGGCGATTGCGTTCTCGCCGCTAAAGTACTCGACCTGCCTGCCCGTGGGCACGAAGACAATGTCCTTTGCGTAGACGTGGGCGTGGTTGTAGGCCTTGAGGGGGTCCGTCTCGGTGGGGGAGGCGTCGGGGTTGACGGTGCAGGTGACGTTGAGCTCGAGCCGGACCGTGTTCCAGTCGAAGCTGTTTGCGTAGGGGTCCTCGCCGGCCTCGGGCTTCTTATACCACTTGAGGAAGTTGTGGATGCCCTCGCGGCCGCCGTTGAAGGGGATCAGGCCCAGGCGGTGCGCGAGGACCTCGTCCTGGATGACGGAGGTGTTGTTCTCGATGTAGACGTCCTCGATGGCGAGCGTGGGGATCTCGGCGATGAGGATGCGGCGGAAGGCGTTTGCGAGGGAGGCGTCGATTCCGACGAGCGAAAAGGACGCGTCGTTGGGCTCGTTGCGGTGGAACTGCACGGAGAAGGCGGACTTGAAGCGGTCGATGGAGAAGGCGTGGTCTTCGCCGGGGAAGTGGCCGGGGAAGTCTGTCGAGGAGACGTTGGAGACTGTTTCCTTGTTGATGCCGACGGTCTGTTTTTTGGAAGAAGAAGAAGAAGGGCATTGCTGTCAGTTACTTTGGAGCTTGTGGTGATGATGATGATGGGGTCAAGATGGGGAGGTTGAAGCTTTGAGACGGAATTTCGGACGTACGTTTCTGCGCAGCTGCTCCTCTTCGCTGGGAGCGGAATGCCGTGAGGGAGCCATGGCGGGTGTGTGTGTGTGTGTGTGTGTCTGTGAGTTTTCTTAGAGGGAGGGAGGGAGAGGCAGAGAGGATGAGGCAATGGGCAAAGGTTCGGCTCGGGTTGGTTATGATCTGGGGAAATTTTTTGAAAGGCGATAAGCAATTGATGATTGATATGGAAATTTAGCGCCTCCGAGGTGAGTTGTGTCGGTGTGGGAAAGTGGGTTCACCGAGGAGGAGAGGGTCTGCCGCTAGACTGTTTTTGGTGCTTTGCTGGCATTGACTGTCGAGGTACGTACAATGTACTTTGACGTGTAAGATGAAGTTACCTACCTAGGTATGAGAAAAAGAGGAGAGGAGAGATCAGAACTGTTGCTATGGAGGCACTGAGCTAACTTCGTTCATAAGAAACTAAGGTATACAATTTCTAAGATTTGACCGCTCTCAAGACCTGTGGTATTATTGAAGTCATGCAGTCCAGCTGCCCACTGACGCACATGCACCTCGCCAGCCGGTGATCATCAACCATCAACCATTGCATTTTCAACCCCCTCCCAACCAACACATGCCACAATTGCATCCTTCAGCCTCCAATCTCTCCATCAAAATATCTCAGAAAAAAAATCTTCATATACCACACGTAGAGTATCATAACAGTAATGGCGAAGCGATGGACGAAATGATGGCCGTGATAAGCTGCTGTATTGCTTCCGGCAAACTTATAATGACATGCTACTACTATCTAGCCCATCGATATCCTCCTTTCCAATACCTAATGTTACATCCTGTCTGTCCAAGCAGCCCTACCCTGCCCTTTGTAAGAGCTTTTGTCAGTCTGCTCGTTGATTCCCTGCCTGCTTCTCTGTCCGCTTCTTGCGATGCAATCATTCAATGTCTTCCATATTCCACACACTGACGCCCTTCTTCTGCACGCTCTCTTTCAGTCTGCCGAGCACCGCTTGTCGCTTGGCTCTCTTGTCCATCAACTCTCCCTTTTCTTCCCTGCTGAAGCCGGTGACCTTCTTCCGTGGCGTCGCCGCCTTGACGGGAGTCCCAAAGGACATGACGCTGCCCGAGATACTCTGGCGCAAGCTGCGAGAGGGCGTCGCCTCCGGAGAGAGCAAGATGCTCCGCCTTGCCTGCGGTGTCCGGAAGGGAGACTCTTCTCGGCTGGGAGGCTCCAGCCGCATCCTTCGCAACTGCGTCTCCAACACGTCAATGTCTCCGCTGCGCTTCTCCACCATGCTGGTCATCTTGGTAATCGTCTTCATCACAGCCTCCACGGTGGGAGCGTTGGTAGCACCCCTACCAGAGGCGCCAGAGAGCGATGCAATGCGAGTCTTCAGGAGGGTCAATGCTTCTTCCGCTTCGGCGAGAAGCTTTGAAAAGTTGGTATACTCCCGCCTCAAGTCATTCTGCTGCGCCTGCTGCTCTGCACTAAGAGGGAGCGACCGCGCAGCATCTGCCTGGTTGGGATCGACCCGCGTCATGATGATCCGCTTCAGATCTTCCTGCTTGGCTCGGAGTCGGTGCATGTCTCTGGCGAGTTCCTGGCAGGCCTCGAGCTTGTCGGGGAGGTCCTGCACTCGGCCTTCGTCCAGATCGCCAAACAGCTCAACGTCGATGATCTCGCCCAGGTCGCTGATTTCGCACAGTACCCAGTCATCCGGATCCTCAAGGTCATCTGGAGACCGACCGTCGGGAACGCGGTTGTCGGTATGGCCTTTGATGAAGGCCCTCACGGAGCGGGCATTGAGTCCCAGTGTGTCAATCATCGAGTTGATATCCCGGTACACCGCCTCAACTTGGGCAGGGATGCTCTCCTGGGCCGGCGGTGCGATGTTGGAGTGAGCAATAAACTCGTCCAACTCCAGTGTGCCTTCGACTTCAGACGCCAGAACTCTCTGCACCTCCTCATCTTCTTCATCAATCAACAGCCGACTCTCCTCGGCTTGTTGTCGCTCCCTCAGCTTCCTCGACTGCGCGATGAATGTATCCTCGGCCGCCGTCTTGTCCTTGGCTGCCGCACTTGATGCGACGAGCTGCGCTCTCTTCGGGGCTACCTGCTGAGAAGAAACGCCTGGTGCGCTGGCAGACCTATTGGCTTCTGACGAAAGGGCACGGGCAGGAGCTGTGGCGGCTGGCTGAGAACTCGAAGGGGTTGATCGGCCGACCTCCCCAAAGAGTGGTCGAGTGGCTTCTGCAGAGCTCTTAGGCGTGCCAGCTCCCAGTCCGAGGTCTCGAGCCACGTCCACACCACTACCCTCGGAGGCATTGTCGCTCAAGTCGCTCTCCTCCTCCTCCTCTTCTTCCTCTTCTTCCTCCTCCTGCTCCTCGTCCTCGTCGGAAGCAGGCTCTGGAGCAGAGGGCAAGCTCGGCTGGGCCTTTTTCGTGGAAGAAGGGAGCTCGAAGCTGGGAGGAGAGGGAGCCTTGTTAGACTTTGAGGTAAAGCTCGACTTGGTAGGATCGGGCGGTAGGGGAGCGTCTTCAATGACTGTTGGCTTCTCCTCGGACGGTTTGGAAGCTGTGAGGAACGGGTTTGGTCTTGACGAGTCTGCTCCCTTGCTCTTCGCAGCCGTATCCTTGGCAGCGGCGGAGAAGAGAGTGCTTGGTTTCGAGGCAGCACTGCTGCCAAACACGCTGGGAGCGTTGGATGCAACAGATGAATCAGACGACTCTCCAATCTGATACGAAGACTTGCTGGTTGCGTCGGGAGGAAGAGGTGCGCTGAATGTTTCCACACTCTTCGCTGTAGGGGTCTTGGAGTCGTCGTCGGGTTTGGACGCAGAACCAAAGAGACCGGAAGTGGTGGCGGGCTTTGAAGCGCTTCCAAAAGACCCAAAGACACTCGAACCCGTCGGTTTGGGAGTGGCTCCTCCTGATCCAAACAAACCGCCGCTCGTGGTCTTGGGGGGCTCGGTTTTGGCCCCAAAGATTGAAGTTGTGCCGCTCGTTGGCGCAGCACCAAACTTTGAGCCCGACCCAAGCGTTGCTGACGGTGTTGTAGATTCAACTTCGGTTCCTGGAGACACTTCGCCGGTGTCCATGTCTTCGTCTTTGGCCGTCGCAGAAGCGTCGGGCGCCTTGCTACCCGCATCATTGAGGGCCGACCCAAAAGCCGACCCAAACATGGACGAGCCAGAAGGTGCTGGCGCTGTGTCATTCTCTGCCTGAGCTGGGTCAGGCTTGAACGAGCTCTCTAGCTTGAAAGGCGTAGAACCAAAGACGCTGCCAGATGGCTTCTCCTGGGCAGATCCAAAGACGCTTCCTGAAGGCTTTGGCGGGAAGGCCGTGTCTGTCGAGGTTGATCCGAAAGCGCTCCCAGTACCGGCAAGCTTACCGCCGCTACCAAAGACGCTACCTCCGGTGTTACCGCTGCTACCGGCAAGGGATGCAAACCCGCCTTGGGTAGAAAAGCTAGCAAAGCCTCCAGAAGAGCCAGGCGTGGAGGACTGAGCTGCGGTTGCAAAGGCACTCTGAGGGGCCTTGTTTGCGAAACTTGCAAAGCCCGACTGACCAAACGCAGGCTGGGCTGCCGATGTTGACCCTGCTCCCGCACCAGCGGATGCCCAAGGAGAGGCCCGGGTACCAAGGGGCGCCGCCTGGCCAAATCCTAGGGCGCTCGGCTTCCCAAACGCTGCACCAGCCGAAGGTGCTGATCCGAAAGCACTCGATCCAAAAGCCCCTCCACCAGCACTTGGTGCGGCCGCGGTGCCAGAACCTCCCGAGCCCCAGGGAGACGCCTTCTGGCCAAGCGATGCTGCCGAGCCGAAAGCAGGAGCTGCTGGAGTTGCTGAAGCAAATGGTGAGGCTCCCGCGGCAGAGAATGGCGAAGCGGAAGACGCAGCTGCTGCCGGCGCAGACGCCGCATCTCCTTGGACTGCCGTCAATCCAGGATAAGCCGTACCCTTCTTGATAGAGTCGGTATAGATGATCCACCACGAGCAAAGCACACCTTCGTGAGTGAGAACCCAGAAGCCTGGCAAAGGAGTAGGAGACTCTTCAAGCTCCTCATCGGACGGTATCGGCTTGTACACCTTGTCCTTGCTAGACAAATCCAACGCAATGCCGATGGGCGTAGAGTCCTCCATAGAATCGGTCATTGGAAGGGTTGGTCGCTTGGAGTCATCAAGCAACTCGGTGGTTGTGAAGACGCCGGTTATGGACTCGGCGGGTTTGTCGGTTGCCAGCGCATTCTTCGACCGCGTTAGCAAACCGATGTCGGTTGACGCTGTAGAAGAGACAATGAGGAGGTCCTGGAGGTCGGGAGGGAAGTCTCTTAGTCTCAGGATAGAGTGATGGGGGGTCTTGTCTGACCCGAAAGGCTCAACCGGGTCTGTAAGTTTCTGGTAGGTGAAGGATGAAGGAGGCTGGCGTGTGATGATGTGGTAGATGGAAGATGGGGGCGAGTCGTTGGTGGTGTGGATAGCAAGAAAGAGGTTGTTCTCAAGCCATGTGAGCGAGGAGACTGATGGACCAACTGTTAGCATGCGAATCCCATGAGAGGAACGGCGACCTTACCGTGGCAGTTGTCCACGTTGGGAGGTTTGGGAATATCGGCTTTGCCCTCTCCTTCGGGCGTCATTTGGTGGATGGTTCCATCCGCCAGTCCAGCACAGAGCTGCTTGCCCTTTGAGCTCCAGCTGATGCAGCTGACTTGCGTCTTGAGCGCATTGCTTATTTTCCGCTCCTGGAGATTGGCCATGTGAAGGTTGCCGCCATTTGTGACGATGGCGCAGAGTTCCGGAACAGTGGGATTCGGCACCAGCGCCCTCAGCGCCTCTCCGTTGGTCGACAGCTCAAACGCGGAATTTGTAGAGCCTTGAAGAAGACTCGACACCTCGTAGACAGCAAGGCCACCGCCAGATTCTGCGGACAGCACCAGGTAGTTCTCGTCGGAAGTGAAGACGAGTTGCGAGACCCTCATGGACATGGGAATCTTGAGCTGGGGCTCAAAGGCGCGAATGTCCGAGTCGCCATCTTTGGGGGCTTCGAAAGCTTTTCGTATCGATTCCGTTGTGGCGATGACGAGTTGGTCGGGGCCGGCGGCAGCAACCAGACCTCGTTTCGAGGCGACACTGAGGAGCGAGGAGGTGGCGGCAGGAAGCGTCTCCCAGGTGGACGTGAGGCGAACCTTGGCATCGCCGGCGATGGAGAGGAACCCGAGAGCCTGCGAGTTCTACATGTAAGTGACGCGATCATTGTCGACACATCTTGGTCGCACGACAATCAAAGATTTAGAGATCGTCAGCAAAACATGGAGAGCTGCCTACCTCTGTCTGAATCGTCTCCAGGTCAGGCCCTGCTTTCACATCTCCACTCATGGCGTTTGTCGAAGCGCTGAAGCCAAAGGACATTGCGTCTGCACAGATGATGAATCCGGACGGGTTCCGAATCTCTCGTTAGACCTCCAGCTGTTCCAGCATGAGTCTGCGGCGCGACCAACGAATCAGTCGCTGGAGCTCCCACCAGCAACCAGCAGATGCAGATGCAGATGCAAGCTCACTTATACCGGCCTTGGGAGCTCAATCCGGGATCAAAACCCGCTGAGAAAAGCGATGCCACAAAAGGCGCCTCCAAAAAGCGATGAGACGCGTCGATCTGGCGGTTGTTGTGGCTGGATGCTGATGATGTCGATAAAACACAGCGATCGATCAATCAGTGTTGCAGCAACCAACTGCCTGCGCCTAGGTATCGAATTCTACCGGGCGGTCTGTCGCGACCCATGCACGCTTACAAGCAACTTTTTTTCTGGGGAGCTCTGATGAGCGCAATCACGTGGCAGCAAGGCAGCTCTGGCCAATGGCGTCTGCAGCTGTAACCCCATCTGGTCAGTCAGCAGTACACCAATCAGAACTCTGGGACTCTGAGGTACCTAGTAGGGGAAGTCTGGTGGTGGCAGCTTTATTACAGAGGGGCAGAAGGAGGAACAGCAGGTGGGAGCTTAACCAAAGTACCGACCCCGCTAAATTCGGCTGCTGCGGTACCTGCCCCAGCACCTCAAGGCAGGAAGGCAGCTTTTAGCCTCGTCATCAGCTGGTGCTTGTTGGCTTAGTATAGCCAAACCAAACATCGACCTCTACTCTCTTCTACCAGCAACACCATTGAATCGCGAACAGACAAACCACCACCCGTGACGGCCACCTTCACAGCGAATACAGACTCGTGGCCATCAGCAGCACGGACAGCCTCCACTAGCGGACACACGCGAGATCTCGGGCGAGAGAGAGGGCACGGCTGGAACAGGGCATCAGCATCACAAGCAGCACCACAAGATGCCGGGCTTCGACTTCTCCAACTACAACCGCAATGCGGCCCTGCACGCCCAGGGAGTGCCTCTGCCCAGGGCCACGAGCACGGGAACGACCATTGTCGGCTGCATCTTTGACGGCGGCGTAGTGGTAAGTCGGCCGTGTCCCCTGTCCCTCCACGTCCATACCGATGATCACGACAATGAGAGCTCCCAACTAACCCCATCATCTTTCATCCTTCTCTCCAGATCGCCGCCGACACGCGTGCCACGTCAGGCCCCATCGTCGCCGACAAGAACTGCGAAAAGCTCCACTACATCTCCCCCCAGATCTGGTGCGCCGGCGCCGGCACCGCCGCCGACACCGAGTTCACCACCGCCCTCATCTCCTCCCAGCTCGAGCTGCACTCCCTCTCCACCGGCCGCAAGCCCCGCGTCGTCACCTGCATGACCCTGCTCAAGCAGCACCTCTTCCGCCACCAGGGCCACATTGGCGCCTACCTCGTCGTCGCCGGCTGCGACCCCACGGGCACGCACCTCTTTACCGTGCACGCCCACGGCAGCACCGACAAGCTGCCCTACGTCACCATGGGCTCCGGCAGTCTCGCCGCCATGAGCGTCTTTGAGACGCAGTGGACGCCCGATCTGTCGAGGGATGCGGCCGTCAAGTTGTGCAGCGAGGCTATCCTTGCTGGTGTGTGGAACGACCTGGGTTCCGGCTCGAATGTCGATGTTGCTGTCATCACAAAGGACAAGACGACGCTGCTGCGGAACTACATCAAGCCCAACGAGAAGAGCGCCAAGCTGCAGAGCTACCGCTTCCCCAAGGGCACTACTGCCGTCTTAAACGAGAAGATCATCACTAAGAGGGACATTGGCCGATATGTCACCGTCGTCGACCTACCAGTTGAGGGAGAGAAGATGGATGTTGATACCTAGACGGTTGAGAGGATGGCAGGGAGAGTGTTCTTTTTTGCGATGAACATGGGTTGTCGATGTCACCGATAAAATAGTAAACGAATGCTAGAAATCAGACAAAGGAGAATCCTAAGCTACCCATATAACGACATGACGGCGAAACTGTTCCTTTTAGAACGCCCTCCAGGGATGACAACAAATGTGCTCTGTCGAGTGCTTGGGGAGTGTTTTGGATTTAATGAATCTCTTGCTATCGCCTTGATTTTGCCCTAGATAATACGAGACGTTTCCCACAACGTCCGCTTTCTGGTTTTGGATATATCGAAAAACAGCCCAACGCCCGGCGCAGCGAAAAAGAAATAAAAAAAGAAGAATAGGAAATTGACCAGCCGCACTCTATACGGACTTAAAATCGGGAAATAAGGGAGAGGGACAAAGGAAAAGTAGTATATGTGTACGCCTCACAGCCAGCCTTCCCTACAGATATGAAACAGAAAATCAAAGGACCTCCCCGAAGGTTGAAGGTTAGAAAAAAGATGGAAAAGGGGGTCAACAGAGGTTGGGATCGAGGAGAAGAAAAGAACCAGAAGTGAAGAAAAACAAACGGCAGGAGTCGTATGCTCCCAACTGGAGGAGAAGTAAAAGAAAAGGGGGTCTAGCGAGCTCTTCACACGCCCGGAAGTGCTTTCAATAGTACACAGAATAACGCAGGTAGCAAAAGATCCCGCCTCTACTAGTACGCCGACACAAGCATAAAGAAGCGAAGAGTAACAAGTCGGAAGAAGAAAACTTATAAAAAAGGGGGGGAGAAAAGACACAGAGGAAGTGAAAGGGCTAAGATAGAAGAGAAAGAGTAAGGCAGGCCGATAAGAAGAGATTCCCAAGAGTAGGTGGTCGATGCGAGAACAGCCGAAACCCGTCAAAACTCCGGTATAGATGGCTGAAAGAAGAGACGAAGAGAGAGATCATCATCATCATTAGGTCGGTCCCCCTTCACGAAGCGGGCTTTTTACCAAACATTGCGCGTGAGCGAGATTTGCTGCGGGCTCGAGACTTCTTTGGCGGAATCTCAGGAGCATCCTCATCGTCCATGTATTTCGACTTGTGAATCCTGAACAGCCATCACAGTTAGCAGCATATCCTAGAAGGAGACGCATAGAATCGCAGTTTCAACATACCAGCTGTTCCCCACCATGCTCATGCCCTTGGCCTCTGCCATTCGGTAAAACTTGGCACTCTTCTTCAGGTTCTTCTTACAGCCGATGCCCTGCGCATAGCAGAAACCAGCTTCTGCCAGAGCATCAACATCGCCCCACGCTATTTAAGACACATTAGCAAAACAATCACCAGGCGAAAGTCTTTGTAGGCTCAACTTACTGCCAGCGATCTCAAAGCAGCGCAGGGCAAGAGCCTTGTCTTGCTCAATCCCCCACCCGTTCATGTGGCTCACGCCCAGTTCATAGATGCTCAGAGCAAATTGGGCCTTGTGGGTCTTGTTCTCGGCGATATTGATGTGCTTCCCTTCCTTGACCATCCCTTCATCTTCGGCCACCTCGCCACTGGCCATATCAGCGGCTTTTCGTAGCCACTGAACGCCTTCCTTCTGGTTGGGCTTCATGCCCCAGCCATGGCGACAGGCAAGGGCGTACAGCAGCATGGCTGTCGGGTGATTCATCTGAGCGGCGTGCCGGAGGTGGTAAGTGGACTCGTTCAGGGAGCCATTCTCGTGGCATTCGATTCCCTTGGCAAGATGCTGCTCGGCCGTCATTTCGGCAGCGGTAGGTGGCGCTGTGCTAGTCGTGGATCGCACAGACATGCTCGGGCGTACTGTCTGGGCTGAGTCGCTTGTGCCAACGGAAGCTGGTGCCCTACCTCTGGATGCTTCTTCAGACGGTCGCCCGGTCTCGTGAGAGGGTCTGCCGCGATTCGGTGGGGGATGGCCAAAGGGGCCAACGCTGGAGCTCTCTGAGCTGAGCTTGCCCGCATCGCTTCGCTGCCTGGTCATGGCACTGGAGACACTGGCAGCATCATCAGGGACACCGCGAGCAGAGGAGCTAGAAGGTCGAGTGGGTGGTGAGGGCGGCGCCCCCGCTTGAGGCTGGCCGTCTGAGGATTCGGAACGCTGAATTGACTTTCCTCGAGGCAGAACAAATTTGGAGTAAGTATGGGTTGCGCCCTCTGATGGCTGCTCCATGAATGCCTCGCTGTGCATGCTGATGGGTGTTTGAGCCGACTCGTCAGCCAGGATAAAGGATGGCTGACTATCTGAGGAAGCTTGTCGAATGGGATGGTCCAAATTCGGCGTGCCAGCTCGGCTCATGGGCCGAGAGAAGTTGAATGCAGGTCGGGGAAGAGGCGCGGACGACTCAGATGCGACGGATGGAGATCGTTGAAAGGGGGGCAAGGTGGAGGATGCCATGTGTGGCGGGAGGGCTGCGCTTCCAGAGGAAAGCTTTCGGGAAGGAAGGGACTGAACAGAGCTGGACATGATGCCAAAGCTATCCTCGTCCTGGGGCACTGGAGAGGACAAGGCGCTCGGCGACCGTCCAGGGAAGAGGCTTCTGGGTGGCGCCAATCCAACATCGTCGAAGGAGGCGCTCTGCTTAGGCCTGCTGCGAGGAGACGAGGGGTGCGGGGGAGCAGGAAAGGAGGTTAGCGGGGGAGCAGGCGACTTGGTTGATTGACGGTCCAGCTGAGAGAGGCCGTCGCTCAGCAGTGGTGATGGGGAACGGTCCTGACGTGCTCCAAAGAAGTCCACTGGGCCGTTTTGGTGTCCCATCTGCCGGCCGCGAGCAAAGTCGGGAATGTCTGGCACGTCTGGCAGGTCTTCCGGAAGGGGAGGCACGCCATCGTCGGGGGTAGGTGGGATTCGGCCCATGCGTGGGTGCATTGACCTAGGCCTCTCTTCGCTCGAGAAGCCGTCTTCCATGGCGCTCCGCAGTCCCAAGCCTCCCAAGCCCGCAGAAAGCGGAGGGGCGGGAGATTCACCGCGCTCAGATCCGGAGTCCTGCGACATGGATCGAAAGTACTCGGACCGGCCCTGTATAATTAGAGGGCTCTCGGCCGTGAGAGGGGGTAGTCGGCTGACGCGGTTTCCATCCTTGTTGGTCGTCTCCTGGAGCTGTCGAGCCAACAGCCGACTCTGCAAGGCAAAGGCATCCAAGGGCGATAGCTCGGGAGGGGCCTCCCCGGCAACATGGAGCCGCGGTGATCGAAGAGCTCGAGAAGAAGAGGCCGCAGAATTGGAGGACTGGGATCGCAGGTCCAGCAAGGACGGGCGATTGGTGACGGAGGAGTCTTTCATGGTTGCTGCTTGAAGCCCAGATCCAGCGCGTGTATTGAAGGATATAAGCAGTGAGCGCAAGCGCAAGGTGCTAAACGGGATAGATAAACAAGACACACAGGTCCCAGAACGGTATCATGAAAAGACCAAGCGGGACGCCCAACGATGCCAACAATAGCGAGCAGCAGAGCGGCCGGGAGGAGTTGCGGGTCGCGAGGGTGTAGGCTAGTCGGCGATGTCGTCGGCTTTGGTGTTGCTATTGTTGTCTCTACGACTGCGCAAGCACAGGCGCAGCTGCAGTAGCAAATGCCGTTGCAGGTCTAGGCGCAGATGAGGGTGCAGGGCTATCGTGGCAGTGCGGCGATGTTCTGATGACCGAACCAGCGAGGGCGTGAGATACTGTCGGGCGATCCAAGGGTGTCGTTTACGAGCGTCGGTGATAGGCGGCACGTTGGATCCGAGGGAAGAAGCGAACGGACAAGAACAAAAGAGAAGGCGAAGAGAATGCGTCAAGGACGGACTGGGGTGAGTTATAAGGGCGAATCGAAGACGGGTCGAGGAGGCAGAGGCAGAGGCAGAGGCGCGGTGTCAAAGGCGTCGGAGTCGCAGCGAGGCGGCGAGTTGGGTTTGAGGCTGGCGATTTGCAGAGTCCAAGGATACGAGGCGCAGGACGAGGGACGAGCCACCGAGTCGGTAGTAGTCCGCGGATGTGGCACTCGACAAGGTGCGGCGGCGCTGGTCACACGAGGGGCTGCAGAAATGGTCGCGGGGCGAAGAGAGAAGAGAGAAGATGGAGAAAAGAAAGAGACTGTAAAGAGAAAAGAAGAAGAGGGAGAAGAAGAGAAGAGGGAGATGGTGGCCCTGCTGGTGTCGCAGCAATTCGAAGGGCTCGAGGCAGGAGAAGGAAGAAGCAGAAGCAAAAGCAGAAGCGGAAGAAGAAGAAGAAGCAGCAAGAAGCAGAAGCAACGGCGACTAAGTCCTGCTACAAGAAGCCCGTTTGGCGGCAAGTTCAGCGCTTCCGCCGTGCCTTGTCTCACCGATCAGATCAGAAAAAGGCTGTGGACGGGGAAAGGAGGAAGACGAGATCGAATGGTACAGGTCAGGTACAGGCACGAGACGGCGGAATGGATACGAGAGGCACCGCAGCAAAAGGAGGTTTAGCACTCTTTAGCACTGTTTTAGCACTTTTAGCACTCATGGCCCTCTGAGCAGCCCGGTCCAGTGGCGCCCCGTAGCTTGGGGCTGGTGACTGGGTATTGGCGACCTGTGGACGTGGGCGCAGATGGCGGGTTGGGCAGGTACAGTGCACGGCGGCTGGACCCTTGGGATCCTTTGCGGTACCTCGCCCGAAAATGTGGCTTGACATTCCCTTAAGGTTCAAGGCACAGAAAAGGCTATTTGATGTCTGCCCTGGTCTCCTTGCTCCGTGTTGTTGTTTTCAGAGTGTTTCCAGCACCGGCAGAGGAACCCGAATCTCCAAGAGGCAATCCTTACCTTTGGAATCTCTCTGTGTAAGAGAGGATTAAACCGGGTCATTTTGAAGGGCTGCAAGGCGCTCTGTATCATGCACCGATTGACTGTGCTTGGCGACAGATGCCTCCATTGAAGGGTACCTCCTAGCATTGATGCCAACAGTACCTAAGGTACCTACCTCCCCTTACCTTAGTATGTACCTACCTCCTAAGTGATGATGATGTCCCCCATATAACAAGATGGCAATCTATCTGCTTTTAGCATTATCACGGAGAAAAAGAAGCGCAAATTCATCGCCATATGTAGGTATGTAGTAGTAGTAGTTCTCGTGCAACAAACAGCACCCCGGTCCCTGTGGCTTAAACGGCTGCAGCAGCCAGCAAACCGCAGGCGGACGGTAATACATGCACCCCGTAATAATCTCGGGCAATCTCCCCAGCATGTCGTGGCTCTTTGAGCGTCCCCCAGCCTGCAAGTCATCCGACCCTCGTTCTGTCTCTCGCTACTGATGGCTATTATGATTTGACTACCTACTAGGGACCTACAAGTATGTACGGATACGGTGCCATGCCGTCGCTAGCAGACAGAAGTTGCCATCAAAATTACATGGTTTTATTGGTCGATTCGTCTTTGCTACACCGAGAATATCGTTGCCCACTTCGTATTCTCCTCGGGCACGCTTCACACTTCACTCCACTGAAGCATCTAATACTGTACCTACATCAACCTCGAAACTTGAAGGCATCACTCCCCATGCATCTCGGAGTCCTCCCAGTTACGATACAACAATGATACAACACTCGCATGCAATCCCATCTGTGCCCATGTCGACCCCTCCCGGAAACATCCAGGTATTGGATCCTCTACTGTACACCCCACAAGCATCTTGAACGTTAAATCAGTACTTTTGCCACAGACCCAGTTGTTGATTGGCTGCTATTGTAGGTAGCTTCTTCAGTGATTTGCGTGTGACGATACCTCATCTCACATTTGCCACAACAACAAGACTGGCATCATAGGCCTTCAGACCTTCTACAAGTACTGTTAAAAGACATATCTCAAGTCCAGTATATATCTAGGCTAATCCTCTAAATACAGGAGAAGGCCACAGTCTTATAGGACGTCCAGCTAAGTAAGAAATAGTAGAAAATAGATAGAGATATAAAGTAATAAGCATGCTGTACCGCTACCTCTACACGCGGCCACTCTAACCAGTGCTGATCAGTAGCTGTACCTAAGCACTATCTGACCAATCAAATAGCGTACTGGGCCTTGTACTTAAATAACGTTCAAGATGCTTGTAGGGTGTACACCCAAAAGCCCTCCAAACTTGCCACTGCAGCCAACCCAGTCACGAGTACCCGGCATGTATTGCTGTACTTGCAGGCCCCCCCAATCTGGTGCGAGTTCAGGGTCCCTGGACTTGGATGGGCGCATTTGGCGACAGCCATCGTCTGGGGTGCAGCAGCAAGATTGAGAGCAGCGACGGCTTTTCCTTAGCTCAGCGACTTGGACCGAGCTTTTTCATTACTTTCAAACATTGGATGGAGAGGCTAAATTGGGTCAATCAATCCTTTGGGTTTGGGTTTGGCTGCAGATGCTGGTTACGGACACTGGAGCTTCTTACACACATGCCCTCTCAAGCAGCCCAGTGTATGTAGGACAGCTGATGTGTGTCCTGTTCTATTCTGGTCCCCTTTAGCATCTGTAGCGGCATCGTCGATCCCATCAAGTGGCAAAAATCTATGCATGAATATGCTGTCAGGTAACGCATATCTATGTAATACTGCAAAGTCCACGCAACTCAGCTGCGCCGTCTTCGTGGCAATTGAAGCCTCACAATGTCTATTAATACCTACCACGTACACGCACATACCAGGGCAGGTAGGTATCTACTTTGCCCACGTGCTCATTCTACCTATTTCCAGGTGTAGGTAATCGCAAACGTCGTCGGCAAATGCGCCACAACTTCAAGCTATCGAGCCATGTGCAGTCGCTTAACAGGGAGCCCATATGTGAAAGCGAGAATCATGGACCAAGAGGAGATTAGACCCTTGATGCTATAATTGTACCCTGAAAAATGACATGCAGCTTCATCATCTACATACTACGTATGTAGACCTACCTACCTAATGTCTGGTGTTACAAAGTAGGTACCCAGCCTACAAACTCGTACGAGATGATGCGCTGTGTTGCTGCGCGCTGCGATCTAGCACGACTCGCAATAGTAATCCCTTCCACGGAATCTTCCATATGATGAGGTCCGGTCGCACAGGAACATCGGCAGCGCATGCGCGATCAGGTCACTCAGTTCCTGCGACCTGACGCAAGGGGGGGGATTCCCCATAGATTGATAGTATGCCCAGAATCTTCATCTCCGTGGGCTAGGTACGCTACATTCCTACAGGGTCAGCAAGAGACAGAAAGGCAGAACAAAGTCCCTGACGAGAGGAAAAAATTAAAAGAGTCAGCTTGTTACACGGAAAAACAGAGGAGAGAGCATAAGAAGGAGGAGAAGAAGCTTGGAACTCAAGACTCCGCCACGGCAACGAGTGAAACAACGATGATGCAAATGCTAGACACTCCTCCCCCCTAAATGACGCCGCGTATTACTTTTCCATGGAGCCCTTTTTCTGAGACTAAAGTCAGGGCACAGCTGCGTCACCTGGAGCTGGAAGACCATTTCCCGGACATGTGTCTGAATCAGCTCGTCAACGATGGTGATGGTGATTCGGCATGCTCTGCGCCCCGGAGCTTCTGTTCGCGGAGTCGTCGGCAGCAGCAGCAGCATGTCCGCTCCCCTTGCTTCCAGCTCCAGCTTCGTCCAATGTCGGCTTCCAGGTCACGAGGCCACCTCAGCCCCGGCTCCGGACGGTTGTCGGCACTGATGCTCCGTTCTGGCTCCTTGATTAAGGCAGAAGCTAGCGGAAGAGCCCGCCATGGGCTTCTATTTTTATCCATCTTGCATATTAGTATTTCGAGATCGCTGCTCGATGAGCTTGGACTTGAACCACCAAGTCGATTCTTGTCAGCTTCTGCGATGGTTAAGACCTGGATGTATATGGGGTGCAAACATGGAGATACAGTTGCTGCTAGTCACTGCCAATAAATCCAACAAGCTCGTTTAGAATTTCAAACCAACTTCTAATATATACGAGATGCTGACAGGGCCCTTTTCAAGAGACAAGAAAGGATACAAAACATCCATACCAGCCAAAACGCCCTCGTCCATGCGCCCCGATATCCCATCACAGCATTCTACAGCGGAACCTTTTTTTTTTTTCTATTTTCTTTTTTCTCTTTGATTTTCCTTGATTTTGGGTACCTAGCGACAGTCACCCTCACTGATCCTTGGATCGGAGCTTCTTCAGCCTCGTAGCACCCTCAAACAGTCCTCGGTCAACAGCAGCAGCGACAGTCAAGGTACCACCGACAATCGCGCAGAGCCCGGACAGGAATCCGAGGAATGTCTTGGCCCGCTCCTCGCGGTTGATGACTTTCATGGGGGAAATGTCCTATACACTCGAGTTTTAGTTGCGCATGACTACCTCACAATTCACGGTAGATGGTACTTACGTAGGAGAAGAAGACGCCAGGGATACCATTTCTTGCGTGCAGCCTCTCGGGATGACCTTCCTTCGCATCATCGCCGCCCATCAGGCTTCGCTTGTGGCTGGTGACGGAATACTGGTGCGTCTCGATGCTGCCGTCAGAGTAGAATGTCGTAACGCCGCCGTTGGTGGTACTAGGCTTTCGCTTCTCCCAACCCAGGGGCAGATACGAGGTGGGAACAATCTTGACAAAGTACATGTAGTTAAAGTTGGGGTCCTTGGTGTCTTGGCGAGTGTTGTCCAGAGGGTTGAGATGGTGGTTGGACCAGGTATTCTTACCACCCAACCTCTCGATGACGGTGTCCGGGAGCTGGGGTCCAAAGCGAAGAGAGTGGATGATGTGGGTGAAGTCGTGCGACTTGCCCTCGGGGAGGTCCCAGTAGTTCTTAAGATCGTGGACGTGCATGTTGCCATTGCTGAAGCTTCGGCCAGGGGCAAGGTGAAAGTTTCCAATCACCTTGTTGACCTGCAACAAACCCTCGATTCGGCAGCCCTCCTCTCTCTGCTGATCCAGTCGCTCGGCGTAATGCTCTCTTTCGCACTGCTCCACGCCCTCGCCCCTACCAAAGGCCCATGACGCCAGCGCATACGCCTCCCGGACCTCGTCGCATGTGTTGCAGCACCCAGGCTTCTGCGCGGTGCTGGGGGCGATGGCTCCGTAGCAGCCGCCGCAGTAGTTGGGATCCAGATGCTCGGCCTTCTCGTGCAGCTGGGAAAGGGACTTGCTCTCGATTTCGCCGCCACCAAGCGCTGCGGGCTGTAGACGAATCTTGGTGATTCCGTGAGCGACGCCGTGCTGCTGCTCACCAGAGACGTCCATGACATCGAGCGTCAGCAGCTCGCAGGGCATATTGGGAAACGTCATGTTGAGGTGGATGTCCATTCGCTCGCCTGATCGACGGTCGCATCATGTTAGCCCATCCGTTGCTCGAGTGTCCCTATGCGCAAGGCGCAGGATCCCAGACGAAGAGATGACTTGAATTCCTCTGCCAACGTACCTCTGCCCTTGTCCACGACCAACTCCGGATGCACTACGATGCGCCGGTAGTCGGTCCATTCTCCCCACGCCAGAAACACCACTACCAGCAGCGACACAATGGTGACGATTCCTCCGCTTGTTGTCCGGATGCGCGCCTCGTCCACCGTCTTCGTGAAGGCATCGAGCCTTGTGAATCGCGACTTGGGAGGCATGTTGAGGGACGGGATGAAGATGACAGTTTGGACCAAAGCTCGAGCCGCTAGCAAAGCAAAGGTGCTTGGACGAGATGCAGCCCGCTTTAACCCAGGATAACTGTCGCAGCGCCGACTCGTGTGCAAGGACCGCAGAAACGAAAATCAAGCGACTCAATCTTCCTCGACAATTGCATCGACGGCGAGGAACCACGGACGAGGGCAGCGCAGAAGGGCGGCTGACACGAGGCGAGGTTGTCGAGCTGGATGGTCTTGAGGCCACCTTGTCGCAATCGAGCACCTGAAGCAGGCTAAAGGCACGGTCGCTATCAGCGGTGCTAGGCGCTGATTGTTCACTAAAACCCGGGGTCTCAGGGCGTCTAGGTGCCGCAGAGGCCCTGGAGCTAATGCGGGCTACGGTGACAGGGGGGGGTTAGGTGGCAGGTGGGTTGTCGGCGAATCTTCGGGTGCAGGCAGCTCCAGCGATCCTTTGCCTGTTTGGGCGCGGTGCAGTGAATGCAGTGAATGAATGACCGTATCAAGCCTTGGGCCGTTTCTTTTTCTGCAGAAACGCGAAGCTCTCTCCAACTCTGACCTCACATTCACCCAAGCTCTTCCTTCTCGACATCGTCACTTTGGTTCTCTGCCACCAGCCTCTGATACCCATTTGCGCCTTTTCCTTAACTTTTCTCTTCTCCGTATTTGACCATAGGAACGTCGCGGACGGCGAGATATACCTTTTCCAAGAACCCTAGAAGAAAAAGGCACAGGAAAAGGCAGCGCAGAGCTTCCCATTCGGCATCCGCAGCCAGACGCCGAACTCGCAGAAACGCCACACCCAGACGTTACCGAGTCTCTCAAAGGCCCACAATGTCGAGCAGGCCTCCGTCCAGAGTCGTGTTTGTGGGAAACATTCCCTACGGTCAGTTGTTGATGCGCCAATGGGCCGCGGCGATGTCTGCGCCGGCAAAGCATGTGACTGACGCCTCGATTTGATAACCAGGCCTCTCCGAGGAGCAGATCACCGACATCTTCAGCAGCGCCGGCAAGGTCGAGCGCTTCCGCCTTGTCTACGACTCGGAGACAGGACGGCCCAAGGGCTTCGGATTCGCAGACTATCCCGATACCGGTACGATGCGATCAAGACTGGCTGTATCACCGTCATCCACCAGCTGGCTAACCATGCTCTTGTCGCAGACTCGGCCTCGTCGGCTGTCCGCAACCTGAACGAGTATGAGATCATGGGTCGCAAACTACGAGTCGACTTTTCGAATGAGCAAAAGAGCGGAGACGATGATGGCCAAGTATGATGCGACCCTCCTCTTCCTCCTCCTCCTCCTCCTCCTCCTCTTCTTCCTCTTGTTTGACATTCAGTCTTTGCTAACTCTTGGCAGGCACCCGGACAAAACACCAGTGCCTCGAATGGCGGCGCCTCTTCAAGCTACAGCTCCCAATCGATACCCCTCCCTCCTCTGCCCGCCGGCAAGGAGATCCCGCCAGGCTTGACATGCACCGACTCCATCTCACGAACACTCAATACCCTCCCGCCGCCCCAGCTGCTGGACATTCTGAGCCAGATGAAGGCGCTGGCCACTTCGGAGCCTCAGCGGGCGACGGAGCTTCTTCAGCAGGCTCCTCAGCTGGCCTATGCCGTCTTCCAAGCTCTCCTGCTTATGGGGCTCGTGTCCCCCGAAGCCATCCAGTCCGTTGTCGACCCCAACGCGCCGCCTCCGGCTCCCCTGCCCGCGGCCAGCTTTCCCCCGGCACCGGTTGCTGGGTTCCCCGGCGTCCCCGTCGCAAACCACACGCCCCCGGTCACGGCACTGCCCTACGCGCCTCCGGCGGCGAACAATGCGGCCTATGCTCCTCCGGCGGCAGCCCCAGCGGCGGCTCCTGCGGGAATGGCGCAGGATCCTGATGCTCTGATGCGAGCTGTCATGGAGCTCCCTCAGGCTCAGATTGACATGCTTCCGGAGGCTGACAGGCAGCAGATTATGGCTCTCAGAGCCACGTTTGCTGCCCAGCGACGCTGATTTTGCGGTCAGCATCGCTGATCAGAACAAGGGGTATCATATTAGAAGTCTGCAATACGCTTCTCAAAGGCTTGGATGGCTTCAGTGGACATTGAAGAGTGCTTGCATAATAGCCTTGAAGGAGGATTTTCTCCATCATTTTGGGGCAGCACATGATCTATCGGAAGATACACACAGTATACTTGACCTCTCAGTAGCCTTCGAGCATCTGAGCACCGAATTACGGGAATCACGAGAGCATTGCGGCATGAAAGAGAAAATCAGGAAATTCAAAACCAGAAAGTCCTCAGCTTCATGCACAAACGAAGGAGGGGAAGGGGGAAGTTTTCGGATATGGATAGAACGGCTTGCATTTCACCAGCAGCTTCCCGGAATTGGGGAGCATTCAATGTATGAGTCAATGTATGTGTAGCTCAAGTACAGAGGGCAGACTCTAAGAGGGGCGCATCAAAGAATGCGCCTGGAATCAAAACGATTATAAGAGCATGGCTTGAGACGAACTTGTAAGAGGTCAATTGCTGTGTGAGGAGCATAGCTGATGTTGCTTTGGTGCGAAGCCTTTGCGCGCAGGACATTGTTACCCTAGACTTCCTCGATGAGAAACGTTTGGTTAACGATTCCTATAAAGTGATAGGTAAAACCGACATAGAAAATATCGAAGCAAGATCCTCTTAAATAAAGGAATTGGACAGCAAGTAGTATAATGCGGTGTTGAAGAGTAGCGATGATGTTGAAGATAATTCCGCATGGGAGTAGGTGCCTGGGTAGACAGAACCAAGACGGATGAGGTTGGAAAAATCTAAATCATAGACTGAATAAACACTAAGGTAGCTAAACAACTGATTCTGATATAGAGTATAGCTACTGGTATACTGATTTCAAAGGATATGCTTCCTAATAGTGCGTGAGCAATGACTGACCGTTCCGAACCCCCCCCCCCTGATATCCTGTTCTATGTGTGCCATTCATTCTGGTCCAAGCTGGACGTCGCTTTACAAAAAAGAACCAGAAAACCAAAACCACCTCACGACGCCTCATCCGTATTCGCCCCGAGAGATCAATCAACGAGATAAAAAGACAAAGTAAAAAGAAATAAAAGCAAAAAAAATAAATAAAGGTCTTGGGCCAGATCAGACAATGTTGTACACCCGCTTCGCAATCAGATAACACGCCACCCCAAAGAGCAGCAGCCCGGCCGTGATGCACGCAAACCACGTCAAGTCGCCCTCGTACTCTTGCCCGGGTACCCAGACGTTCATGCCCCAGAGGCCGGTGATGATGTTCATCGGCAGCACAATGGTTCCGAGGACGGTGAGCTTGCCGAGGACGTCGGCGGTTTGTTCTTGGCGCTCGTTCATGCGGATGTTGATTTGCGCCAGGTAGTTGGCGTGAGATCGGGCGAGGATCCTGGAGCGGTTGTTAGTTGGTTCGGCCTGTAAATCAAAGATGAAAAGGGAGAGAGGGGCTGTATTACTTCTCATAGTGACTCAAGTTAGAGGTCATGGTCACAATGTGATCCTGGATGTCGCCGAGATACAGGCCAATCTCTGAGCGGGGGGCAACCTCCCACCGCTCGTTGCAGCGCTTCGCGAAGCCCTTGATGACGTCCGCCTTGTTGCCCAACAGCCGGTACAGACTCATGACTCGCTTTCGGCAGTCTCCCACGCGCCGGAGCATGTCGCCACTCGAGTCTGGAATGGTCGCGGTGTCATCGTGTTTCGCGGCCTTTTCGTCGTTTAATCGCTTGTAAACCGATGTGTGGAGCTGCAAGATGGAGTCGTCGATTTCGTCAACCTCGTCCTCAATGTTCTGTATCAAGGGCTGGAAAACGTCGGTGATATCGTCGATGATGGCATACGAGATCCAATCCGACGAGAGAATCAGGTAATCCCTCAGCTGCCGTATCCGCCGGCGAACGTTGGCGGGATGCGGCGTCACGGAAAAGTGGAAGCTCAGGACGCCCTCCCGGAAGACAATCACATACATGTTGACGGGCTCCAGGAAGTTATCGCTGTTGAAGTCCTGATCAAAGGTGCGGTAGTTGACAAAGTAGTAGTGGCGAAACAGCTCGACCTTTTCACGGGCCTCTTGCAGCATGACGTCTTCAGCCGTCAGAGGATGAATGCCAAAAGCCTTTGCCAGGACTTTCATCTCGTCTTCTGTCGGGCTGAGAATGTCGAGCCACCACACTGGTCTCTCTCCGTATCGCACCGGCTTCTCAGATACTTTGGGCTCGCCCGCGTTGTTGCTGTTGTTGCTTTCCTTTGGCGTGAGATGGTCGGGTGACTTGTTCCCATGGACCGAGGCAGACCTGGAGCTGGAACTCGTTCTGTCTCTCGCAGGCGGCGACATGAGGCCATCCTTTCTCGTGTCCAGCGAGGGCTGGCGTGTTGGAGGCTTCGTGTCGGCCTCGAGTCCCTCCGCCGAGTATCGCGGTTTGGACGGCTGTGACATGATGTCCTCGGATTCGCTCTCCTCGTCTGATGAGAGAATGCGGGGCTCGGGGATGAACAGTGCCTGGAAATCGCTCCCCTGCTGGACGAGCCCTGATATGGACTGGCTGTGTATCGTGCTCTGGAATTCTTCGTTGAAATATGTGAATCTGTAGGGCGCCTCTTCTTCGGTCTGGAACCAGCCCTTTCGGACGGGCCGCAGACGGCCGTTGATAAGCTGCGGCTCTGTAATCGTCTTAACTCGTCGCTCATTGCTGCTGTCCTCCTTCTCGAACTGCGCCCAATTCTCCAAGACAGAAAGATCTGGCCACCGACCGCGGCGCCGGCGGGTTCTGTAACGCCGATTGTCGTACCGGGAAGCAAGCTCATCGTCGCCAATATCGGACATGCCCGGTCCGGGGAAACAGACATCGCCAGAAGCTTGGGGCGGCAGCCTCGTCTCGCGGTCGGGCCGATGGGTGCCTTCGCCGTCGGAAAGCGCCTCATCGCCGCTCTCCATGGTGAGCTCATCTCGCATCATGACATCGCCAAAGTTGAGCTCGATGCCGTCCGACGGGCCAAAGGTTGGAGAGCCGGGTATAGACGGCGGGTGGTTGATGTCGTACTTGTCCTTGGAGCTGTACGCAGTCCTCAGCCTCTCCTTGGAGGAGGAGCTGGACTGTCTCCGGCTTCGAGTGCGGCCCTGGCGCGCATCGCCTGTACCGTAGCTTGGCATGCCCGCCTGCGATGCTGGACGCCTTGCGGACTCGGAAAGCAGAGGCGCCGACTCATCCCAGCGACCAGATGGGCTCTCATCACCGCTCTGCGCCGTCTGCATGGACCGGAGGCGGGAGTTGCTGACCGAAGAGAAGGGATTCTGAAAGGAGCCCGGGCCGGCTATCGTCGACGACCGGCGGATTCGCATCGGCTGCTGTTCTCTGGAGAAAGAGGTCAGTACGGGGCAGTTTAGTGAGACAAAGGCAGAGAGACATGTAGTCAGTCACGAGGCCCTTACCTGTGGTCCAGCAGCGCTTCGCTGTCGATGCTCGTGCCGCTGAGGTTTGCCTGCGCCACGCTGTAGAAGCCATTCCCCGAGGACTCGCCCAGCTCGTCATGGTCGTGCAGGAGGGCAAAGCTCTTGCGCCTGGAGCGCTTCTTCTTGCCGCCGCGGTGGTTTCTCTTCTTCTTCTGCGACCGCTGGGACTGCGACTGCGACGGCTGAGGAGACGGCTGAGCTGCTGGAGGAGCTGCTGGCGGAGCGGGAGGCATGAGAGTCGAAGCGGGAGCTGGCGATGTAGCGGCCGAGGGATCGGGGCCCAGGGGCGAAAAGCGATTGCTGCTCGACATCTTCAGCAGCGTCTTGAGGGCGTGCAAAGCAGCATGGTCTTGCTAAGGTATGTATATGAAGCAGTGCGCGAGGGGCGATTGGAGAGACTAGATGACAATAGCGATAAAGTAGAAGAGCGCAGTGCAGAATAGGGGGCTGAGTGAGTGTTGTCAAGGTGAACAGCGTTTCTTTGTCCAGGGTTGTTGCTTGTTTGTTGGAAGAACCTTGAAAGGCCGGGCAGGCATTTGGTGATGTCAGCACAGCTCATACGCTGCAGCCCTGCTGGGGGTTTCGCCTCCAGAGTTCCAAGGTTGGCTGGTATGGGCGCAGTTCCAGTGCTTTGATTAGCTGCCCGAGGACTACAGAGTTGCGGGGGTGGCAGCAGGCGGTCACTAGCGCAAGAGGCCACTGAAGTTCCAGCAGGTTTGCCTTGGATTCGGGCTGCTCAACTGCTCCAGGGCTGTCAATTTGACTTTGGACAGCGAGATTCTGAACGAGAAGGTAACCTTTGCATGCTACTCCACCAACAGCCACCGAATCATCTCGCTCTCTTGCGGAGAGGCTGCTCCGCTTCTCGATCGTGGATACTACTCAATAGTACTTATACTCCCATTTGATCTGTACTAACCTATCATCTATTTGATATGTATGGGAACAGCTTTGACAGACTCCAGAATAAACAATGCATCAAAACGTCCAAGTCTCTAATAGATAAGAGATGCCCTCTCCGACACCCCGGCCGATGCTTATTCTCCAATGCTACGATCCCAAAGAAACCACACGCACTACTGCACCGCACCCCGGTCTCTTCATGCAGCCGCAACACCCTTTGCCGGTTCCCCAAAGTCCCACAGCTTCACCAAGAGACTGTCTGGGTTGGTGGCGGGTTCATCCTGGGGCAAAAAGATGCGCTTCGGGATCTGAAACTCCACGACCGGGGCCTTCTTGATGTCCTTGGCCATCTCTGCGTCCAGCAACTGCAGATTGTTGTTAGTAAATGCGTCAATTGAGGTCATCAACGAGGGCGACATCGGAAAGGTACTTACACTAGCATACGAATGGTCCAAAAAGTCTTCCATGTTGTACGACTGCTTGGTAAACTGCTCAGAGATAATCTTGGCAATCGTGGCAATGTTGGGGTGGTAGTGCGACTGCAGCTGGACCACCTCCCACAAGCAGCTGTCGATTGCGCCAGTCTTCATAGGATTCGGCTCTGTGGGGTTGAACGCATCTTCGAAGCCATTGTTCTGGATGTGCTTCTTCAGCTCCGGGTCTTGAGCCGGCCTGTGGATCATAAAGGTGCATGTCGGGTGGCGCCTCAGGAGGTTGTAGATCCAGGGAATGACGGTCGCGATGGCGCTCGGCGGAGCGTTGAGCGCGAGGCGTGAAAGCCTCTTGATAAAGCTGGCAACGAGAGCGGCGGGAAGATGCGTTGAGCCGAGAAAGGTGTCCAGAAGGCGGAAGAAGCGCGAGCGGTGCTTGGAGTGCAGGATGTCCTTGTCGAGGAGAGAGTAGAGCTTGGGGTAGAATGATGGGTAGTCGAGATTCCGCTGCTGGATGAGATAGAAGACGCCGGACAGCGCCAACAGGGACATGGAGCCGCCTGTGTTGTAGCAGCTCGTGAGGAAGTCGGACAAGAGCTCTGGCTTCGTGAACCACGGAGCAATGTTTGTGGAAATGACGTTGAGAATGCGTTTGCGCTCCTCTTTGGTCCGGACAATGCTCAGAATGGCCAGCCAGGCGTCCTGGCCTTGTCGCTTGTGCTGGGTGACTGTCCTCAGGTTGTGGGACTTCTTCTTGGGCCGCGGGATGTAAAAGTCTTCAAGCTCCTCGGCGGATTGGGGCACGCCGTCTAGAGCTGATAGCAGAGCAAACACTGAGTCGAAGAGATTGTCCGGAATATCATCCTTGTCCAACCGGTCCAGGATGGCCCTAGAATTTGGTGAGCATCATCAATGGGGATCTCAAGCTGTCGGGATTGCTTACTTTACTGCTCGGAAAGTGTAGTATCGGATATCATCGTACTGTTCGACATAGGACTCGAGAAACGCCTTTCTCACATCATCACTGCCTGACATGATGAGGACTTGGACAATGTTCTCAAGGAAGGCATACGGGAAGGTGTATTCCTCCTTATCGTAGAGATGCTCTCCTTCTGCCTTGAGAAGCCTCATGCAGAGCGTCAGTGCCGTCGCAGCAAGGTCTTCATCCGCCAACATCTCTTGCAGCAGCGTCTTGTACTGAGCAAACTGGTCCTTTAGCCAGCCAACGACGACGGTGTCCTTTTCTGACATGCCCTTCTTTGCGATGAGGGAGCCCTGGACCAGTAGCCGCAGGAAAATTCGACACAGGGCTACTGCGGCAAGCATTGACTCTTCCTCTCCGTCCTCGTAGCGGCTGGCGATGGTTTGAAGAGTGGCGATGTCGTTGTAGTTCTTCTTGGACTCCAGGATGCCCTGTTCCATGAGGAGAATCTTTGCGTTGGGGTCTTGGGCGTCATCGTTTGATGAGCGGCGCCGCTTGGCGACTTTGTTGGCCTTGTCTCCTGTGGAAGCCCTTTTGCGCTTTGCGCTGTCTTGAGCGCCGGCAGGCATTGTGAGGATCTGGAGGAATTAAAGGAAGAAAAAGAAAAAAAGAAGAGGAAAAGAAAAAGAGATGTCAGAATCGACAAACGTAGTAATGGCGTATCAAGAGGGACAAATAGACTGATTTCCGTGATCTAAAAAAAGACTGCTGTGATCAGTATGAGAAATGTGGCCCTTCTAATTGGGATTCAATCTGAGTGACAGACTGAAAATCTCATCTCATGAGAAGATAATGAAGAATTTCACTGCAGCCTTGCATCCTTCCAGCCAATGACCGGCCAAGCCTTTTCCGCGCCAAGCTCCTTCTTCCCCCCAGTCCCGATAGCCGGGAAAAGCTCGGCTCCAAAAGTAGCTCAAACTGCCTCCAAACCTCCAAAGTCACCCATCACGTGACACAGATGTGTTACCGAACTAGCGCGATAAAACCTCAAACCTCATTCCCAGCTCCCGATTCAATGACAAGGCGATAAACCCCCCCGTCGAAATCCATCCTCACAATGGCGTCCCGCTTGGTGCGAAGCGCTGTCGGTATGTTGCCGCCTTCACTCCGCAGCCCGCAGCTGCTGCCGCCCCGGCTCCAATTGGTGTTGCTGTTGTTGCGCCGAAGGCTGACCGAAGATGCGACTGACTCTGGTGTCTCCAACAAACAGGCGCTCCCCTCCTCCGAACCTCCCTCTCCCGCGCCGCCGTCCCGGCCATCTCCGCCGCCGCCGTGCGATACTCGAGCAACGTGCCCGCCGAGGACCCCAAGAAGAAGGCCCAGAGCATCATCGATGCCCTGCCCGGCAGCAGCCTCGTCAGCAAGACGGCCTTCCTGAGCGCCACCGCTGGCCTCAGCGTCTACGCCCTCAGCAACGAGTACTACGTCATGAACGAGGAGACGGTCGTCGCCGTCTGCCTGCTGGCCGTCTGGACGGGTCTGCTCAAGTACGGTGGCCCTGCCTACAAGGAGTGGGCCGAGTCCCAGAACGAGAAGATCAAGAACATCCTCAACAGCGCCCGCGCCGACCACACCGAGGCCGTCAAGACCCGCATTGAGGACGTCAAGCAGATGAGCGGCGTCGTCGACATCACCAAGGCCCTCTTTGAGGTTTCCAAGGTAAATGACCAAATCTGGGGGGGAAACGACATGTATAGGACGAACAGTCGTATTGATACCGAATTATAGGAGACTGCCCAGCTCGAGGCCAAGGCTTTCGAGCTCGAGCAGCAGACCGCCCTTGCCGCCGAGGCCAAGGCCGTCCTCGACTCCTGGGTCCGCTACGAGGGCCAGGTCAAGCAGCGTCAGCAGAAGGAGCTGGCCGCCGCCGTCATCGCCAAGGTCCAGAAGGAGCTCGAGAACCCCAAGGTCCTGCAGCAGATTCTGCAGCAGAGCGTGGCCGATGTCGAGAGTGCGTTGCCCTCTTCCCTTTGAGTCATCTGGATTGATTCTTGGAGCATGATTACTGACTGTGAACGTCTACAGAGATTGTCTCCTCCGCCAAGGCCTAAATAGATGACGCGAGAAACAAAACATAAAAACAATGCTACTAGAGTCTAGATTCAAGGTCGCCGCAAACTTTCTTTCCTCTTATGTCTCTCGAAGCAGAAACCCTTCCCCTGTGCATATAATAGCACCTGTGCATTAGCCCAATCAAATCAAAGACGCTAGTCGATATCTTCGTTATCCTGAAGGATGCTTTGACTGAGGTGATGAGTGCATAATGTCTCAGCTGCCAAGGCAATGGGTGGAGAATTGCGGTTGTAGTATAACTTGTATGTTCTAGATGATGCAGAAAATGAAACAAGATATACCTACATCAGCACGGATACATGTCAGTGATATCGCCAAGAAGTCGAGAAGATGTGAAAGATGAGTCCAAATGGGGATGCTTGGCCATCCCATTTCATTTCATTGATATTACTACCTAACCCAGAATAATCATATCTACCAGCCCAGTGACCCTACCCAAACCACCAGCAACTGAACATGGACGCACATTATAAACATATCTTGACAACATAAGATAGATACAGCGGTTGGACCACAAAGTGATGGAAAAAGAGGACAACCCTTCCTCGTCTTAACCCGGAACCAACACCCCAAGGTCTCGCGAACAAGGCAAGTAAACACAAGAAAAATGAAAGTTAAAGAAAAAAAAAAAAAAAAAAAACTCCCCATTTAGAAAATCGGCCTCGACTCAGTCCACTTCTTGCTCTCCACTGCCGTAGCAGGCGTCGAGTCGGGGAGATCAGCAATCTGATCCCGCGCCCAGCGGCCGCTCATGCGTCTCCTCCTGACGCCATCACCATGATGAATAGGCCCAATCCACTCCCACGCGCGACCGACTTCGCCGCTCCTGCCCTCTCGCTGGCCAGTGCGAACATTGCTGTTCTGCTCAACGACCTTCTTGACCCTCTGCCAGATCCTCTCCCGCTCAGCCACCTTGTGCACGGACCGGAGCACGTCGTCCCTCAAGTTTGGCAGAAACAACCAGGGGTCGTCCAGATCCTCCTCGCCCAGCTCCTTTTGGTTCGCCAGCCTCTCTAGGACTAGGTCGACGAGCGCGGGGACCTGCGCCGAGTCCAGCAGGTGCTGGCGGTACCGGGCGCGCAGGTACAGGACCGCGAGCACGACGAACATCAAAAGTCCAATTGGGAGTCGATGTCTTGCCAGCCCGAGGCGGACGGAGCGCTTGAGCGCGCAGCCGAGCGGAAGGCGAGCGAGAGAGCTGGACGAAAGCTTGCGGTTTGAAATATCGGGGGAACCGGGCGATCTGTGGGATCAGGAGCGGCTCTGATTAGCTGCTATGTCAGAAAGCGAAGTTGAAATAAGGGGGGGAATGTGAGGGGTTCAGGCCGAAGCCATAGCCCACGCATACCCCGTTGAACATAAAGGAATATATTCGTAAAAAAACTTACGTGGTTGTTACCATTTCCACAATCACTTCATCGCGGTCGGTGATTTCACCAATGGCGGCCACCCAGAGATCCTCGAACTCATCGCTGTTGAGCCTCTTGCTGCGCTTCCTGCTCACAGACGCCTTGAGCTCCTCCTCCGCAATGGCGGGAGAGTTGATCTTGGAGCCGGATTCGTCACCGCACTCGTACTGGGCGCGGCGTTGCCTCAGCTCTTCAATCGCCTTGTCGGCAACAGCCTGGACGCGTCGCGCCTTTTCGCCATCTGGCTCGCAGGTTGGCGGAAGCGGGACAAGGCCGCCAAAGGACAGGGGATGAGGCTTGAGGACGAAGCCGCTGTGGCAGCGGACGGAAAAGTCCTCGTAGCAGTACGCATGTGCAGGGCACGGCTCGCACTGAGGTTCGACAAGTGGGACGAGGACATCGGGCACGGGAAGTTCAGGCGGGATGATTTGCGTTGCTGGCCGGCCGAGACCGCAGTAGCCAACGGCAATCTTTTCCTGTCGGTACCATGCCAGATAGACGCCAAGCAGCGACATGAAGAGCACAAAGAATGGCGTCTTGAGATTCGTCTGGCGGGGTTGCTTCTGCCTTCTCGGCACAATGGTGGTCTCGCCCCTCCTCGCGGCCTCCTCCAGCTCCAGCTGCGCGTCGGGGGTGAATTCCTCGCCGGCGTCCAACGAGTAATCGGGCGATTCGTGCCTCGGCTTACGAGCAGACAGTTCGTATGATGGCCTTGCGGCGGTAGACGGCCGTGGGATGGATAGAGGCTCAATGTACTCTTCCCGTAGCCGACTGGGCCTTTCGCCTCTAGCGAAATCGTCGCCAAACCGTCTCCGGCTAGGAGTCTTGAGGGCGGGGGAACCGCTTTGGAACGGGTTATCGTCGGTAAAGACGCTCTCTTCTTCCTCGTAGGCAGTAGCGGATGATGGAGCCTGGGGGCTCTGATGCGCGGGATAGTAGGGCGTGGCGCCAAAGGGAGTAGCAGGAGCATACGGAGTGTTATGAGCCGTCGCGTACTGCGTTGCCGCAGAATAGGGCGTGGGCGCGTAATGCGATGTAACGGGCGTCTCTTCCTCTGCCTCGGGCTCGTTCTTAATCTTGGGCGTGGCAGATCTCCGAGAGCGAGAGCGGCGCGTCGACTTGGGCGCCTCGTCGTCGTCGTAGTGGGACGGCTGGCGACTGGACCGGCTGGCGGATCGCGCGCTGCGCTTCGTCTGACCCTTGTAGGACGTCGGCGTCGTCACGGCCCCGTCATCGTCCTCCTTCTTAATGCGAGCCGATGCCTTCCGGGGCGACGCCGAGCGACGCGGCTTGCTGACGGGCGTGGGCTCCAGCGTGTGGTCCTCCCATCTGCCCGTGTCCTCGGGGCTGCCGGCGTTGACGATGCCCGAGCTGGAGCGCTTCGCCTTGGCGCGCTGGGCGCGCAGCTTCGCGACCTGCGGCAGGACGTGAGTCTCGACGAGCTCGACCAGCTGCGGCTTCTTGGCGGTCGCGGGATACTCGACGTTGTGCGTGACGAGGATCGAGCGCAGGCGAGGCACGGTGACGCTGCGCGGGTCGAAGCCGTCCTGGAGGTAGTCGTCTGCGTCTGCCATGGCCGGCGGCGTCGCGAGGGTTTTGCGCCTTGGGTGTGTTGTGTGTGTGTGAGATGATTCAATTTGAGCTGCGAAAGCACAGAACAAGTATCAAGCAGCAAATCAAGATGGAATTGACTGAAGCGCAAAGAAGGGAATGCGTTTGTCTCGGGAACTTGACAGCTAGCTGGAAATAAAACAGCCGGCCAAGCGTTCAAAACAAATCGACCAGGTCCCCCGATTCAGATGAAAAAAAAGAGAGCCGGGGTCTCGCCAAAAGGTGAAACTAGTCTGTAGTCTCACACCCTGGTCGAGAAACGAAAGGCGACGCTTCTTGACGCAACGCCGAGTTTTTCTTCTTCGAACTGTTGTGTGTGTAAGGAGCAAAAGCGTGGTGATTGTTGAGCTGGCCGTCGAAAAGCTATTGTAGGCCCGTGAATTTCCTCTCCTCTGACGCAACGACGTAGCGCCGTTGTCTGTGGCAACGTCTGGAGCCTAGAAGGAGGGAAACGACAAAAAAAAAGAGGGAAAAATTGCGAGGAAAAAATACGATTGGTTCCCACAATGGGTTTGACAGGCTTCGGCTGCGTGTTGGTCGCCAATCTGCTGGTCGGTGATTTGCCTGATTTGCTGGTCGTTTGTGTGCATCTACAGTACGAGCAGTGTGTGGCTTGCACAGCCACAGCCACACCCGCTGTCGCCACACCCCGCCGCGGCGCCTTTCCGTCATGCCATTTGGAGATCGAAATGCTGCAGCTCCAAACAGAGTCAAGTGGTGACGAGATGCCGCTTTGTCGCATCTGCCATTGAAGGCTGAAGTCACCTCCTTTCTGTTCACGATGGCATCAAATCGGGCCCTATTGGCGAGCCCGCGGTTTGTATGCCGCAGCTGCTCTCGCCAGGCGCGCAGCTCGAGCTCCTACCGCAGGTCTTATGCCACGACCTCTTCGCCGTCCCACGACATCTACGATGTGGTTTGCATCGGAGGCGGTCCAGCTGGGCTGAGCCTCCTCACAGCACTTCGTAAGAGACGAACCTACTAATGACGTGCAAACGGAAGAGAGTTCGATGCTGATACACACTCATGCAGGCGCCAATCCTACCACCTCTCGCCTCCGCGTCGCCCTCATCGAAGCCCAGGACCTCTCCAAAACAGCCTCCTTCTCCCTTCCGCCCACCCAGTTCTCCAACCGCTGCAGCTCCCTCACGCCCACGACAGCCCAGTTCCTCAACACCATTGGCGCATGGCCGCACATGAAGCGCAGCCGCATTCAGGAATTCCACGAGATGCAGGTCTGGGACGGCGTGACGGATGCGCGCATAGAGTTTGACTGGCAGCCCGGTTCGTATGCCAGCCAAGGCAACGTCATTGCGTACATGGCGGAGAATCTGAACATTACGTCTGGGCTGTTGAAGAGGATCAAGGAGCTTGGCGGAGTGGACGTCTTTGATAATTCGAGGGTGGAGAAGATTACCTTTGGAGAGGAAACTGAGGATTTCGATCTGAGGGAGTGGCCGGTCGTGCACTTGCAGAGCGGAAAGTCTCTTGCAGCACGACTCCTCGTTGGCGCTGACGGAGCGAATAGCCCCGTACGAGCATTCGCGGGCATCGAAAGCCGTGGCTGGGACTATGGCAGGCATGGGGTTGTTGCGACGCTCGAGCTGGAGGGTGATGGCTGGGGAGGCGAGTACCGCAAGACGGCATATCAGCGATTCCTGCCCACAGGACCGGTCGCCATGCTTCCGCTGCCTGGCAACTACGCGACGTTGGTGTGGTCCACTACGCCTGCGAATGCCGCGCTGCTGAAGAAGCTGGCCCCCAAGGACTTGATTGCGCTGATCAATGCTGCGTTTCGATTGAGTCCTGTCGACCTGGCTTATATGCACACTCAGTCTACGGGGCAGGACGACGAGCTCGCGTGGCGAACGCAGCACACACACTTTGACCCCGAAGCCGTCCCGCAGATGGTCGTTGGCGTGCAAGAAGGCAGCGTCGCATCGTTTCCCCTAAAGTTCCGCCATGCAGACACTTACATTGGCGAGCGCATCGCTCTCGTCGGCGACGCAGCGCATACGGTTCACCCGCTTGCTGGACAGGGCCTCAACCAGGGCCAGGGCGATATTCAGAGCTTGGTCAAGACGATTGAGTATGCCGTTGCTCATGGTCAAGACTTGGGAACGCAGATGTCGCTGGAGTCGTACAACAGCGAGAGATATGCGGCGAACCATGTGTTGATGGGGGTGTGCGATAAGCTTCACAAGCTGTACTCTGTGGAGAGCGGGCCGTTGATTCCCCTGAGATCGCTTGGGTTGAAGGCTGCGAATGCCCTTGGGCCGCTGAAGAGCTTCTTCATGGAGCAGGCGTCTGGCCGGGGGTTGAGGGTTTGAAAGTAGATGCTCTGTCGCCCAATGCTTCTCCCTTAATGAAGAAGGGGTTAGCCTGTCTGTATTATTACCACCATATTGACATCACTGGCGGATGCCACGGGATTTGTAAGAATAACTCCAGGGAGCCACCGAATATGAACATGATAAAAGTTTCGAGAGTATTTACGACTTTCTCCCAGTCAACTATGGCTACAGACAAAAGGAAACGGAATTCTAATGATTTTTGCCTTCCCCCATTTCATTTTACCTATCAACCTCACCTGTGCCATCAAGTTAGTAAGAATTTCTCTCAAGTAGTGGATGACCATCTGGGGTTTAGTCATGTACATACCAAACACAAGATCCATGGTACCGATTAAAGCGACCGCATCGGCCAGCAAGTGTCCCTTGGCAACGTGATCGAAACCACCCAAGTGAGCGAATCCTGGAGCACGGATGTGGCACCTGTAAGGGCGCTCGCTGCCGTCGCTGACGACGTAGACTCCCATCTCGCCCTTGGGCGCCTCAATGGCAGAGTACGTCTCTCCAGGGGGCACGGCGTAGCCCTTGGTGTAGAGCAGGAAGTGGTGGATCAGGGCCTCCATGTTCTCCTTCATGGCAGTTCGGGGAGGAGGCGAGATCTTGTAGTCCTCGACCCGGACAGGGCCGGCGGGCATCTGGTTCAGGCACTGGTGGATGATGCGCAGGGACTGTCGGAACTCCTCCATTCTGCACAGATATCTGTCGTAGCAGTCGCCATTAACACCGACGGGGACGTCGAACTCGACCTTGTCGTAGGCGTCGTACGGCTGGCTCTTGCGGATATCAAAGGGAACACCGGAACCGCGGAGCATGACGCCGGTGAAGGACAGGTTCAGGGCATCAGCCGCGGAGACGACACCAACGCCCCTCAGACGCTCGATCCAGATGCGGTTATCGGTAAGCATTTCCTCGGTCTCGTCGATACGGTCACCGAACTGCGTAGCCCACTGGTAGATGTCGTCGAGAAGACCAATGGGGATATCCTGGTGAACACCTCCAGGACGAACATAGGCAGCGTGCAGACGAGCACCAGAGACTCGCTCATAGAATTCCTACACGAAACACGACGATTAGTCCCACCAACTCAGCCCTGGATTTTTTCACGCATTCTCTCTTCCTGCTTTGAAATCGCATACCATGAGCTTCTCTCGCTCCTCGAAACCCCACAGGAAAGGCGTCAAGGCACCAACGTCCATGGCGTGTGAGAGAACGGACATGAGGTGGTTCAGGATTCGGGTGATCTCGCCGAACAAGGTTCGGATGTACTTGGCGCGGTCGGGAATCTCAATGTTGAGCAGCTTCTCGACGGCCAGAGAGAAGCATTGCTCGTTGGTCATCATGGAGACGTAGTCCAGACGGTCAAAGTAGGGCAGGGCCTGCAGATACGTCTTGTACTCGATCAACTTCTCCGTGCCTCGGTGCAGCAGGCCGACGTGGGGATCGGCTCGGACGATTTCTTCACCGCTGAGCTCGAGAATCAACCGGAGCACACCGTGGGCGGCAGGGTGCTGGGGGCCGAAGTTGACGGTGTAGTGCCTGACTTTGCGACCCTCGACGCTGTTCTCGTCGCGCGGCTTTTTGTCGTTGTTGGAGGGCTGGGGCCGGCTCGGGAAGCCGTAGATGTCGCTGGTCGAGTTGAAGTGCTCGTCGGTGGGCACGATGCGCGTGCCCTGATGCTCGGTCGTCGCATATCGTCGGACGGCAGATGCTGAAAACGGGCGAGCGGCGAACGAGGTCGCTGTCGCAGGGCGAAGGCAGAGGCGCCGGGCACTCTGGCCAATGAGTCTGTGGACGGCGGCCATTGCGGGCGGGCGGAGGGCGGAGAGAGAGAGACGCGAGGCTGAGGAGGCGAATACGGTATTCCAATCCCCAGAGGAGCCTCTGCTGGCCCGAGATCAATGGCTGGATTTGGACGGAAGATTGGTCGCCTTGGGAGGTTCGTGGCCCGTCAAAGGTCCCGGATCGAAGAATCGGGGAAGCTTGCAGTTCCGGTGATGGTGGGGGGGCCGGAGTATCATTTTTGCGCCGAGGGCCAATCAGCGCGCTGCAATTGGCAAATTGCCTCTTGTCGTTGCCTCATAGACTTGAGGCGATGATTCAAGGTGAGCTACAGGTGTAAGGTGATGAGACGAGGTGCTCTCTTAAAGCTCTTCAATATCTATGAGATGAGAATTGCCGTCTTATATATATATTCTTGATGAGATAGGGTCACATGTGGGCTCATCACAGCATTTTCTCACTGAGCGCACTCGATCATCAGGTACACATGTCTTGATTCAGACGGTGCCACAATGACTTGATGACCCTGCATACATGTAACCTCAACCCTCATGCTCAACTCTACCTATATATATTACATCTACCTAGTACCCCTGTACTCATAATCATTGCATATATGTCTTTCATGAGCCCTCTCCAACACACTCCAGGTCATCTCTCAAAAGCCCAAAATTAATCTCATCCATAATCCTCCCGCCCTTCTCAACGGCGCCCCTCCCCCTCCCCTCCAGCACAAAGCCACACTTCTGCAGCAACTTCTGGCTCGCTGCATTGCTCTCATACACATGAGCCTGTATGCGGTTCAGCATTGGCCACGTCTCAAACGCCCACCGGGTGAAAGCCCTCAGCGCCTCCGTTCCGTAGCCCTGACGCCACACTGACGGCGTGAGATAGTACCCCAAGTCCCACGTCCTGTAGAGAATGTCTGTCAAAGCATGAGTGCCGATCCCGCCAATGAGGAGCGCATCTGTTGCTGAAGAGTTTCCCGGAAACCCTGGCTTGAGTAATATTGCTGCTCCATGCGGGTATGCAGCTGTATCATCGTCGTGGAACGTCTGTCGTATAAACTTTTCCGCGTCGGCAGTTGTGTATGGGCTGGCGAAGCGGTCGCTCATGTAGCTGGCGACTTGTTCATGGTTCGCAGCCAGGGCCAGGGCTGGGGCATCTGAGACGAGATATCGCCGGATGATGAGCCTTTCTGTTTCAACCAAGACGGTGCCGGGCTCGCTGCTCGGCGGGCACGGCGAGGGGAGGATCCTGTTCTTCTCTATGCTGGGCATGGCGTGACTTCAAGATCGTGACGTTGAGGAGATGCTAATCTTGCTTTGAGCATTCTGTTCTTCATATCCTATAGTATATAAAGAAGAGATTGTACTTGAAAATCGTAGAGTTGGTTTGGAGTTGCTTTAAAAGGCGAATGTGAGTGAGTGAGTCACTCCCAAGCCGAGGACGGCTACTGGTGTATGACTCCATGTCCAGTGGTGCCAAACACAGCAATTGATATGTCAACACCTTGATATGCCATACTTTAAGAGGCTTCCTATCTGAACAGATGAAAACCTCTATTTAAACAGAGAAATCCAGTTTCTCAGTATGCATACACCAGAAACACCAGCCAGCTACACCTATTTACAGTGCTAACTTCAAGTATAGCAGGTATACAGCTACTAGAAGTTACAACAGCTACTAGAAGCTACAGCAGCTATAGTGATAATATCTATCTAGAGAAGAATATAGATATCTTCTGAAGCTATAGAGATTAAGATACATGCTCTAAAGTGGCCGTAAGATGATGTATTATAGCCGTCTTTATGTTGCGGATGCTTTCTTTCATCTGACGTGCTAGTTTGCGGCATATGTGGGAGCATGGCAAGTCTGATTTGGGGGTAACTCTTGATTAGAATGGGGATATCCGTCTAGATTGGAATTCTTATCTGTTGAGATAGGAGGAATCTACTTCAATCAACTTCTCTCCCCCACAACTAGAAAGGTAGTGGTAGAATGGCGGAGGATGACTGGCATGGTTCTCTCATCTTGTAGGAGAAACCTAGAGCCTGATATACCTACCTTTCCCGTGACCATTCTTCCGTTCCAAGTCCCAACCATACCTCAGGCGTCACAGAGAAGAGAGAATCTTTGTTTGATGCTTTGTACAACTAATCATTGAACGGCGATACACTTTGACAATGGTGCTATCGCTACAGGTAAGTTTACAACATGAAGTCTACCGCCTTACGGCCTGTTGTATGTCCACCATCCTCGAACCCCCTTGTCTTTCCTCCCTTTGTGTTCATTCCACTCTGTTGCCGACCAATGTTCCAGTCATATCATCTTCACAAGCACGTCTTGCTGTCACGTATCGGCCGGTTGGACATAGCCGCTGCCGAGACTATTGCAGTACCACTCTCTTGGCCACAGTCGTGGAGTTACCGGCAAGTGCCATTGAGTGGTATTCAAGCGGATATTTGAACCCACAACCAAAACTCCCATCTTCAGTTCTCTGAGTGACTTGTGCTGCCGTGAGCTGTCTCATCCTTGTAGCTCGCCAATAGAAAAGCTATCAGTCAGACGTCTTCGACGTGCATTCCTTCAGACAGCTCTTCTTCGCTCCTCTACAAGAGCTTAAGCTGCATAGCCCGGTGGTGTAGTTGAAGAAACTGGGTTTGGGGATGTTGATCTTGAAACGACTGGTCGAAGAAGAGCTGCTCTTGGGGAAAGTGGCAGTGAGGAAGCTGATTCGAGATTGGAGCCTCTGTCTTGCCCCAGAAGTGCACAGATGCCTAATCTTGCTCACTTGGCGACGCAGCAGAGGAAGTTGGTGGATGGATGGTCAACTTCGATGGGTCCAGGCACTCAATGTCGATGAACTCCACAGGAGGCGTCGGATAGCAGCTCTGAGGGCCTACCATGCTCGGATATGCGGATGGAGCAGGTCTTGTCTCTTGCTGGCTGGACTCTCTGCTCAGAGGGGGCGTGGGAAGCGCGACGCTCTCGTCCATACGCTTCCGCTTCTTTCCCCGAAGTTGGGCCTCGTCGTATTCCCTCCGCAGTCTCGTCTTTGTCCTTCGCCACAGAAGACTATCTCCCGGACTCTCTTCCAGCCACTTTCGATGGGACTTGGCGACGTAGGCCCAGTCCTGCATAAACGAAAATTCCGAAAAAAGAGCTTCCAGACAGCAGGGCTGACAAGACCGGGATGTAGACTTCTTTGTCGACACCACTCGAGGGACGCCACAGTCGCTGGTGCTGGTGTTCCAGTTCAAGTCGCGGCTCCCATCGTACGCCAGCGGCATGCCCAGGTTGGCTCTGGTGAAGGGCATGCATGGCTGCATCACATACCACCCGATGGGCCGACAGCAGTTGCTGATACGGCAGTGGATTTCGCGTGCTTTGCACATGGTGTCTGACTGGGAGTCCTCGTCTAGCGGACCGATGTGACTTATCGAACAGTGGGAGATGGAGAAGAAGAGGCAGAGAAAGCTGTTGTTGGATGGGAATTCTTGTCTGGTATGGGTAGGACCAAGGGGGGCTATTTATACTTGTGCCCCTTTGAGCCTTCTTCACTATGTTCATACAGCCTCAAACCTTCCGCACAAGGCTAAGGTACGGAGGATTTCGGCAACATTTGGGCGGAGAAAGATCAAGCATCCTAAAGTTACTTTCCGTGTAAGGGCAGCTTGTCTAATGTACCTACTAGGTATAGCAACTGTCGATGAAGGAGATCACCTATCAACATGCATCGACTTGGTAAACTGCTGCCAGGCAAGCTCTTCAGATTATGGTTACGCTTCGCTATGGATTGACTTCCTCAGTACCTAGGTAGGTATCTCTGAGAAGCCTAGGCACATATACTCGTGTAATTCTATGGTATCTACTTCGCCCCTTAAGGGACACAGAGGGGGCAAAGCAGCACCAATTAACAAAAACATCCCCCAACGTGCTATTGAGCACCTAGGCCAGTCTCTCTAGGTCATAACCTGGGCATTTCATGATATCGTGCTTCAAGCATCTCTCATCGTGATCTTAACCTTCAACCCTTTCAGGAAGACGAGGGTGCTGGATAGAGAGATGTGTTAGCGTGATCAAGTCACTGAACTCAACAAAATGTCGGAGTGTAACACTCACCTGCAAACATCAGTAATATTTGCTTCATCGACAAGCTCAAAGTTGTACCGCATCAGGAGAGTGGAAACCAGCTTGTCCATCTCGAGCCAGCTAATGTCTGTGAACCTTTCTTAGCATCATTTCTATCCCAAAACTTGTACAGACCTTGTATGCTGTGTCTATGTCTTGCATGATGCGTGCCACTTACTCTTGCCGATGCATGTCCTCGTACCGCCACCAAAGGTGAAGAAGAACCTCTCTGTGACAAGGGATGTCAGTCTTATCTGTACACTTGAGGTCTTGTCGGCATTGACATTGTTTTTCTTACTCAGATGGCTAGAATCCTCTCCCAACCAGCGTTCAGGCTTGAATTCCTCGTAGTCGGGTCCCCAAATCTCGGGCGAATGATGGATAACCCAAGGGCTAGTACCAACAACGGTCTGATTCCAGGCAAACAAAGTGTCAGGTCATCATGTCAGCGAGCCAAAGTACCGCACAGAGACGCGGCAAACGAGCGACTTACACCTCCTGGGATGAATCTGCCACAGATAGTCATGCCTTCCTTGGGCACGTCTCTGTCGGGGATGGTTCCGACCGGGCTAAAGACTCTCAACGCTTCGTAGATGACGGCCTGCAAATAGGGACAGGCTTCGGCTTCATGGAATGTGACTGGGTTTGAAAGCTGGCCTGCCGCCTTCCGCTCCTCGAGTTCGGCCCTGAGCTTTGCCAGGACGCGGGGGTGCTGGAGGAGGTTGAGGAAGATGCTGCGGAGGCCAATGGCCGTTGTGTCAGATCCCGCGAAGACATTGGACGTCATCATAAAGGAGATAGAGAGATCGGTTCTAACTCCTCATTAGCATGGACAAAATCATTCTGGTAAGATGGAGCATACAGTTCCGGCTTGTTGCGTGCGGTCTGGAAGAGCTGTCCTACGATATCCTTGTCGTTGCCTCCCTTGTCCCTTCGGTCTTGCACCTCGGATTTCGCAAACTCGAAAAAGTAGCCATTCCGATCATTGGCGGCCAGGAAATTTCCGATATAGGGCAGGATGAACTTCTGATGGAATTTGTAGACCAATGGTGCGTGCATCAGCCAGCTCGTGCTGCTAAAAGCACGCTCAATCCTGCCAAAGATGCCCTCATCGGTGCCTCGGGCCACAAATCCGAAGGGCTTGGAGAAGGAGACGGCGCCAATGACATCGAACGCGAAGAGCTGGAACCAGTTGCCGAGGTCAATGGGGTTTGGAGAGAGAGCAAAGGCGTCGAACTTGACGAGCAGATCGTCGAGGAGACGGTCAACCTGCGGCTCAAGGTGGACGACCGACTCCATTGAGTAGGGTCGTGCCACAAGTCGTCGCTGGGCCGCATGGATCTTCTCGCTGCGCTCGCCTGCAAGATCAAAGGGTCGCGATCCCTGAAGTACAGCATAAGAGGATGATTTGACGAAGGCACCGCTGATTCCTATTTGATGTGAGTAAGCCGATTACGATGTAATGAATAAGAAGAAAGGGGGTAGGATGACGCTTCCAATCCTCGTAAATGAGAAAGCATCTGTAATGCCGGTGCCTGTAAAGTGACTTTGAAATGGAAAGGCCTGAGGCCGGAAAGGTGTAGATAGGGAATGAGGTGGGAGCCATACTATAGATCGTTCGGAATGCATCGGGATCTCCAATGCTCCTGCAAATTGACATTACAAAGATAGTCATCAGCAATTGGACTATCAAACCTCCACAGTACTCACAGAGATACCAGCGCGGGAGAGGTCACCGAGGGAGAGCATGTAACAGAGGACATGAGGATGAGAACTCACAGCTGGTTGGGTCCGATTCGTACAACACTACCATGCCGACGATGCAACTCGTCCAAATAACGATGCCACTGGCCTCGAGAGGTCATATATGGTCGCCATAACGAGGTCACCTTGGCCGCGAAAGGGCCTGGAAACGAGGCCAAGGGTGAGAAATAGCATTGGTAGACGACGTAGGCAGCGGATGCAACCAAGAGAGCTGAGCCAAAGACGATGAGGAGATAGAGAGGATGGGACTGGACAAAGGCGAGCATCTCTTGATAGTTCGAGGGAGTCGGATCCAGCATATTGACCATATTGCAGCAGCCACGCGTGGAGGGGGAGTGCGTTGTAAAGTGAGCTGGTTGGAGCTTGGTAATGCTTTGGCTGTGGTTGTCTCGAAGGAATCGGCTCTGGTCTTATAGGAGTCGCCTATCCAACAAGAGTGATGTTAGATACTTGCTTTCAGTGGGGCCGGAAGCAAGAGTTACGATCTCGTTGAAAAGGAGATCTTTGATGCCGAGGAGTAGCCACTTCTTGTTCCAAGGCTATGTTACAATTCAATGTAGGATAGGCAGTTGAAGCTATTATCCCCGCCCACCAGATTGGGTACGGACACTGTGCGCATTAACGGCATACAGGCTATTTGTATACGAATGCTCTTTCGATCTTGCCCGTGTCTCTTGAGGCAAGAGCGGTTGTCGCAATACCCTTGTTAGAACATGAGTATCTCGCATATGTTCGCCTGGCCTCCCTTCGGGCTAGTCCGTGAGTCCATGGAGCTACGTCCGTTGCTGCATATTCGCACTGACATTCCCTTGCAATGACGATTCAAGAACTTATACCGACCTGCTGGTATCAAACAAGCGGGTATTACATACGAAGCTTTTGTAAGCAGTGCTTTACGAAAGGGTTGTTGGCTGCAATGTAGTATCTGCAGGCATGAAATTACGTTTGAGCGCCAGCCTCTAAGTACCAGGTAGGTAGCCAACACGTTGATAGAGCGTGGCTCTAGCATTTGACAGCCAACAATTCGAATCTGTTGACGCCTTGTTCATCAGCTCTCTATTCACTACGCTAGGTATTGATATCGAAGCAGGCGTCACAAATGCTTGCGCAATTGCGCGGCCCAAGCTGATGGGCCTAGAATGGGCACGTGTGTGGTCTTGGAGGTGTATATCTCCGTACCTTGCCAGTGATCAAAGACTCCGCGGAAAGTCCGATCATATGGCTCCTCCAATCATATCTTTTTGATCCCATGGAAAAGGTAGGGGTTAAAGGCTGATACAACCGTTGGACAAATTAAGTGCGAAAACGCCGCTGTCCGAGTAGCGTGTAGAAAGACTGCTGTCAATGTCTAGCCGTGTTACGACGATCTTGCAAGGAACTCTCCCACCGTCCGAGTATGTACAAAGAATACCGGTCATCTAAATCGTCGGCATCTTTCGGTCGGATTTGTGCATGTGTACTGGGCGGCGTGGAGACTCGGGGTTCATGTGTTCCCTATTGCGGTGTTCATCATGCTTACACTTATGTAGCTCTTGAGGATGGACCTTGTAAACAACCAAGGGAACTTACAGACACTCTGTAATCCAATATGACTACGAAGTAACATGATTCAGTGATGACGTTCCCGTGTTGATGTTCAGTTATCAGAGAATGAAACAAATTGCCCTCAAATATGCCTCTGTAGAATGGACATCATGGATAACCGCACGGCAAAGAGCGTACAATGATCAGCCACCCATATGTCTCATTGCTTGGATGATTCACCATAGCTATTGCTTTGAAGGCAGTTTCGACATCTCAAGTGTCGTACTCTTTATACCAAAAGCCGAGATAGAGTTGCTTCTTAATACACACCGGTTTCTTTCACGATGAGTTACTGAGGCTAGGATTTCGAGGAAAGTCCGACTAAAAGTGCTCTAGCTTCCTCCTAAGGTGCTACCTTAAATAACCCATGCACCCTGGTCTAATATAACCTATACTTTACTTTTCTAAATTTTTTACTATATTAAAAAACCTTATATAACCTATACTTCCTATAATTTAATTAGCTAAAATTTTTAAAAAGTAAAGTATAAGTTATATTAGCTTTTATATTAAAGTTAAATACCTTTTTAATATATTAACTATTTATCCCTTCTTTTTTTAATATATAACCTTTAATACTAATAACTTTTATAGCGCTATAATATTTTAATATATTCTTAATATATTTCTAACTTATTTTATATATATTACTATACTATATATATTAATTATATTAAAGCAGTATAATACTTATATTTACTATAAGGTTAAATAATTAGCTAATAATAATAAGGCTAGTAGTATATATTAAAAAAGACTAGCATTATTTAAATATAAGGTAAAATTTATTAATATATTTATAATATATTTATAATATATTATAAAAAGCTAATATATTTATATTTTAAAAAACTAGTAAAATTATCCTTTTATTTAAAAAAGTGTTTTATTATATACTTATAAGTAATAAAAACCTTTATTTTAATATAAAGTATTACTTATAACTTATATATATTAATAATATATTAATATTATATTACTAATATATTACTTAAAATTAACTTTTTTTATATACTTTAAACCTTAAAAACTATATTATTTATAGCTATTATAATACTTTTAAAAAAGTATAAAAAAGGACTGCTAGTAATTAAAAAGTACTAAATATTATAAGTATTATTAACCTTTTACTAATATATTTAAAATATATTATTAATATATTATAAAGTATTATTATAATATAATAAAGGCCCTTAATAATAATAAGGGTTTTATACCTTTACTTATAATACTTATAAAAGCATTACCTAGCTATAATATTTTATAATGCCTAAGCTTTAATATTAATAGTTTAAACCTCCTTTTTTATAAAAGCAGTAATAAAGGCTATACTTAAGGTAAGGTATTTTTTATTAATATATTACTAATATATTATATTTTATTATTAATATATTTACTTTTTAAGTAAATTATTATATTATAAAAAAGAATACTAGCCTTAATACTAAGGCTAAGTATAAATATTATTAAAGCTAGTTAAATAATAGTAAGTAAATAAGGCTAATAAATTAATAATATATTATAAATTAAATATTAATATATTATTTTAATATATCTGCTTAAGTTTATAATATATACTTATATTATTTAAAAGTACTTTTAGTAGCTAGCTTAAGATATTTTAATTAATATATTTAATAATAAAAAAAGTAAAAAAGTAAAAGAAAATAAAAAGAAGATTATAAAAAAGTAATTTATTATTAATAAATTATAAATATATTATAGTTTAATATTAAAGTTATATTTTATAAAGCTAATACTAATTTAATAAATGCTTTTTTAATACTTTTTAAATATATTATTATATTAAAAGTTTATATATTTATATAAAGACTATATATAATAATAAAAGATATTTATAAAACTATAATATATAAGTAATATATTTAGTATATATTATAAACTATTACCTTATATATATAATATTTATATTAAAAGTATAAATATATATATTAAGAATATATTATAAATATATTATAAAGAATTATAAGGTTTTTATAAATACTATATACTTAATATATTACTTATATATTATAACTGCTTTATAAATTATTACCTTATTTTATTACTTTAAAGGCTATTTAATACTTTAGCTTTTAAACCTTTAATACTAGAATATCTTATTAAAGTTATAAGTTAAGATCCTTTTTTTATAAAGCTAAATAATTATATAATTATTAGCTTTAATTATAATATATTTATAATAAGTATATAATATATTACCTTCTCTTTATATTTAGTATACTTAATAAAGTTAACTATAAGTAGGTAAGGATAGCTAATAGTATAAGAATCGATCTGCAACCC